GCTCAGGGCCCTGCGCTATGTTTTGTTGCCTAGCTCATCGTGCATGTTGTTAGAACTGATGGAAATGCTTTTTCCTTTGATTAGCTACATCATTGTTTTGCAAAAACGTTTCAATGAGATACTGAAGTACAAGTAACGTCTTCTGCATAGCTATGGGACCGGCGCTGACTCTGCCGATGACGGGCGTTCTGGAGTCGACGGGATGTCTGTCCTGACGTTTCCTGGGACCGGCGCTGACTCTGCCGATCACGGGCGTTCTTCTTCTTCTTATTATTATACTGACGGCAACTAACATCCATTCTGAATGCATTTACTCGTCTCCCTACTTCGTATTTCTTTCCAGAAAATCTCCCCATACAGCAGGGAGTCGTTTACATAATATGACTCCCTGCTATACATCTACATGACTGACTTGTCAGTTTGAGCACTCTGGCAAGGTACGTTCGGGCCTGATTGGAAATTTTTATTTTCATTGCTATCAGGTTCGGCCTCATTTTCTCTGTGCTGCGCTGATGACTTCAAAAAGAACGAAACAGCATGCTGTCCGCAGATTGAGTGACTGTATATACGTTATAATTATTATCAAGAGTACATAACTGATAACCCCCCAGAGTGTGCAACGCCGATCCAGCTCTGTGTAGGGTCTTGGTCGAGCGGAATCGGATCTTCTGATGTCATGCGTGCACTTCACACCAGCGCAAGGCCGGTCTCGAGGCAGGGCACCATTGTTTTTGATCCAAGAGTACCCGCGACTTCCCGGGTTCCCCTCGGATGTGTACGGTATTATGACGCAAAGATCCGATTCCGCTCGACCAAGACCCTATGCAGAGCTGGATCAGGCGTTGCACACTCTGGGGGGTTATGTACTCTTGTTATTATGCTATCGGCCTACATGCGATTTCCGGGCTGGTCGACAGGCGGCCCAGCCAGCCTGCTAGTGGGATCTCGGCCTCGCACACAAATCCACACAAAATTTAATGTTACTGCACTGAATGCATTCCCCCCCCCCATACACTTCGCATATATACTCATTCTCTTGATGGTACCGTACTCTTGATGGTACGGGACAGGTACGGGATAGCGCCAGGCATGTCGATGGCACAAACAAACAAAAATATTGTGGCCAGCTGTCTTTGCTGGTACGGTACAGTACGGGATAGATACAGGATAGCGCCAGGCGTGACACAAACAAACAAACACACAAACAAACACCAAATTAAAGCTGTGTGGACCCTGGCTAGCGCCAGACGTTACTGAAGTAACGTCTTCTGCATAGCTACGGGAATTAAAGCTGTGTGGACCCTGGCTAGCGCCAGACGTTACTGAAGTAACGTCTTCTGCATAGCTACGGGAATTAAAGCTGTGTGGACCCTGGCTAGCGCCAGACGTTACTGAAGTAACGTCTTCTGCATAGCTACGGGAATAATGCCCTTGCCTTGATAGTGTGCTTGTGCTTAGCTATTGCTGACGGCCGAATGCATGGTTGCCTGTGGAGCACATTACATAACTTTACAGTCTCCTATAATACGCATCCTGTCCGACGGCAAAAGAGGCTGCAGATTTAGTTTTTCTGCACGTTATCAGCAATGACTACTGGTCTTCAGCAACTTGGGTCTCCTGTAATACGCATCCTGTCTATGCTTTCGTAATGCTAACATAATGCTTGGGATAGCACTCGCTACTGATCTTCAGAAACTCAGCCTGGCTATCCCTCACAATAAGACTGTTGTAATGTTCATAATTCCCAAGTGGTCGCTGGTTTCTCCCACAATTTCATCGTACTGTTGTATGAAATGCTGTACGACATCCTTTTGCCGTGCAACACCGTATTGATGTCTGGCGCTGTCGCCTTCATCTCTGGTGCGGGTGTAATCTTGTGACTTCGTACATGCGTTATAATAGACCAATCCCTTTGTCTGGGTTCGTGAAAAGGGCAACGCGTGCAAGTAACAGTTAGCTCGTGTAAAGTGCATGGTTTTGTATTTACTTGGTATGTGGCAGCTTATGGGACAGAGAGACTTTTGCTCCCCGAGCTTGTGTATGTAAATAGTGGTTTACGTCGACCATGACGGCTCGCTTTGAATTGCAGAACGGCTGCTCCGATACGAACTCTAAAACCAGAACAATAATAATGGCTACAATTCCCAACCATACCACAACAAACTGATCGGCTACATTACCGTATTTCCCCTTAAGTTAGCACGTACTAACTTTCGAACTTAGCAGCCACATGAGTACTAACTTTCGGGGGTGGTACTATCTTTTGGGGAGTACTTTTTTTATCGGGGTAAATGACACGCAGTGGGAAGCCTGCGCAACTCTAGTGTCCGTGCATATGATGTATGTACTTTACGGTGTCTGTACATGTAGGACGGGTACGAACTTACTATCTTTCGGGGGGAACTGTCTTTCAGGGTGATAACCTCGGCAGTGGAAAGTGTATTTTTTATAGGGGGGGGGGGGTACTAAGTCCTTGGGCAGAATTAACTTACGGAGAAATACGGTATTGTATTGCAAAAAGTTTCCATCTGTTCGAACAACATGCATGATGACTTTGAGCTAGGCCAAAAAGCATGGTATAGGGTCCTGAGCAAAAGAAATACACTTTCTATTTGCCTTCGAGGGTAATACGACACCGTCTACCACCTTGATGACCTAGGCAAAAAGCATAGGGATGTTATAATTTTTTCTTTTCTCCTATATATATTTCAAAACATAACCTAGGATTCGAACCCGCACTATCGCCCTGCATGCATTCCCCCGATACACTTCGCATACATACTCATTCTTCCAAGTTGCTTCTCGTTATGATCTTGCATTTGAAAGCCCTATTTGAATATTGTGGCCACCTGTCTTTGGTACGGTACGGGACAGGTACGGGATAGCGCCAAGCATGCCGACGGCACAAAAAAACAAACACACACCTTGATGGGACGGTACGGGACAGGTACGGGATAGCGCCAGGCACGCCGACGGCAAAAACAAACACACACCTTGATGGTGCGGTACGGGACAGGTACGGGATAGCGCCAGGCATGCCTGTGGCACAAACAAAGAAACAAACACAGAATTAAAGCTGTGTGGACCCTGGCTAGCGCCAGACGTTGCTGAAGTAACATTTTTTGCATAGCTACGGGAATAAATAACATGTCTAGAATCAGGTAGGGTCGGGCAGTATAATGTAGGATGTCCTAATGGACACTCCCCCCCTCCAGCCCCGCTCTCTATGAAGTATGATCTGCTCTGCTGCTACTTTGTCAGGTTTATCGGGTGCTCGCCATATTCTGGAGAAAAAACAGCATCCGAAAACGTAGCTCTCCAATCTCCAATCTCCAATCTCCAATCCAAAGACGAAACGCTCAGAGATTGTACTGTATGTATGTGCAGTAGAGTGCAGTGGTATCGTATTCAATCTTTAAAAAAGATTGAATACGATGAACCGTGATCCATGTTACGCTTTAATCCCAGGAAACAGTAGTCCGTGAAAAGACTTCAAGTTTGCTTCTTTGTCCACTAATATAGTACAGAGATACTAATGGGTCAGAAGATGCAACATGAGGTACTATAAAAGCCATTATTCTAACGAGGCGCATATATAACGATTTCCCAAACTTGACTAGTTTACGTGTACCAAAGTTAATGATTCTCACTCATTCTCAACGCTCAATAGGACAGTATATGTATCGATTTCTGTATAACGATTTCTATTTTAACAACAGATTTCTACTCGTTAACTCGTTAGAACAGATGAACAGATTGTCCCAAAGTTATTTCTAATGTTGTAGCATTGTTCTCTTGTAATTTAGTGGAACCTGTATTGAGTAACTGAGTTTTATGTTTCGTTACATTGTCGACAGATCTCCTGTGTACCGGATTTGTGGCACAATGATTGTAGCCATTTGTCGTCTTCATTCTTGTGCAATCATGCATTATGTAGGTTGGTTCTCTTCATGTTATTGTGACCTATTTGAGGCTATTTCATAGATGTTGGTTGCCTTGTTGCTTTCTCTCCCCTCTCCTCTCACCCAAGCCATTCTGCATAAGCAAAGCTGTGGACGCAGCATACTGCTGCTTCACTTCAACGCGGAAATGCGTATAATAATAATAATAATAATAACTCGTTAGAGTTAGCACTTCGTTATATATATATAATATATGGCTTTTACAGTAAAATACTGACCTGAATTGAGTCATTGAGCTCTATCAAATTGGTGGATAACGGTACAACCGCCAGTGAACTTTAGGTCATGCCCTTCATTGTCTTCTTGGCACCACATCTGAGCTTATAATACTAATAATAACTTTATTAGGATGTCCCAAAGGCAAATCGCCTATCGAGGGGTTCACCGTGTTGAATGGTTGTGGTATGACAAAGCAAAGAGGCAACCATTGTGTGTGTGTGTGGAGGGTGGGGGGGGGGGGGGAGGGGGAGTTTCGAACTATGCACAGTGAAGGGATAATAATTATTGTATGTATGACAGATCATTTCATGCAACATTTCGGCATTTGGAAATGTCCGATCTTTACTTGAACTATTTGGCCTCACTGAACCTACGACATGAAGAAATAATTACAGTGAAATACACAGTGGGTTGACACAAACTCCCCCCCCCCCCCTCTCTCTGCACCGATCTTCGATCTTCGCTTCCATGGTGATGCTCAATGACATCCGATCTGACGAGTCAGCTTTGTGCCCTTTAGGAATGAAAATGCCTTTGTTCCCTGATGTCTGCATATAACGTTACATGCATAAATTACTGAGTAGGCTAACATGCACATATAGTATTGTTGTGTTTTGCTTCTCTGGCACGAGAGGAACATGGATGCAGTCACGAGTGAATGGGATTTTCGGTCTTTGACCACTTGATGGTGGGTCTGATCTACTCACCTCCCAACCGGGTGGCATTCCTACGGCTGTGGAAAGCTCAGTCTAGCTGAGTGTATCGTGACATGCGAATTTTATGTTTTATTTTGCTCCCTGTGTTGTGCATGTTGAGTAGATGGCATCTATGGATCAAGATCCGATATCTGGAGACTACGACGATGATGGTGATGATGATGATGATGATGATGTTGATGATGATGATGATGATGACTATGAAGACCACGATCAAGTAGGATTTCTGATTGATCCTGATAAAGACTATCCACTGGAGCGACTATTCTCTGAACCCATTGCGGAGTTGATCAGGGCATGTGTAGATGGTGATCAGGAAGCCGTGCCTTGTAATGTTGAACCAAGAAACAATGCTGAGCCTGGCTTTTATCCGTATGATATCAACGTAAAGGCAGCTGGACTGTTGTCTTCACCGAACCAAGTGAACGTCACACGCATCAGTAAGGGAGAATGTACTTGGTTCTGGATTGTTTACTTGTTAACAAGAGCTTCACCACATTTGGCTTCATTTTGCTGAGGGCAGCATTCTACTATCAGTGAGCCCCACCACTTCACACCGTGCTCTCACCCGGCCGGCGTACTCCACTTACACAGCACAGCACGACCGTGCTCAGTAGAAATCCTCAGTGCCTGGATGCTCTGACAAAATCATTGTCTCGACAGAGCTGCCCTCACTATGGTGATGTGGTGCAGGTTGAGTGGGTCGGCCGAGAGCACTTAGTGGAGTGAGTTGGTCGAGAGCACTTATAGGAGTGGTGGAGGCAACTGGGAGTTTCCTTCCAACTGATTAGGTTATGAGAAGAACTTGGGACACCATTGAACCCTGACTGAGTATGATGCATCCCCCTGAGCATAATTATAAGCACTCAAGACTAGGTTAAGCTAGTCTATAGGAATTATTCAGAAGCTTTTTAGACAATTCCTGCAGCTTCATGTCAGAACCAGATGTGCCTTTTTTCAGTTTTGCCTCCTCCGCGCATTCGTCAAACTCAGTTTGAGAAAGGGTGCGTGTGAGCAACATGCAAGTAAATAATTTTTACGAGCGAAGACATGGCAAACAACAGCATTCGCTTGCAGCAGGAAGATCAATAATGTTAGCAAACATGAAGTATTATCAGACCTTACAAGAAAGGTGTAAGGTCACAATAAGAGAACTGTACTCCTCTGGTGTACATTATGCTTACTGTAAAATTCCCCTCTCTGCTTTCTCTTTACCTTAATTTGAAATACAAGTACATGTACGTTGAAGTATATGTACTAAAAGCGTCACATGATTGTTTTTTCCCACTGGTGTGGTGTCTGATTGTTTTTCAGGGCTAGTAACCGGCAAGGAAGATGATGGCAGTGATGAGGTGATTGCATATTTCATCAGCGCTGAAGAGGACTACCCGTTGGAGACTTTTGTTTCGCCACCTTTGTTTCTTATGATGCTTGCATGCCGGAGGGACGACCATGACGACCTTCAGCGTCTCTTGACAATCAACGTTGCCGGCACACAAGCATTGGATCCCGATTTGCAGCGTGTGAAGGCCGCAGTTTGGGATACGCATAGTCACATTCATGTGACTCTTCTTGTAAGTGTGTCATGTCAATGATTTCAAAGTCTATATACATTGATATTGTGGAAGAAGGCGCTGTAGTCGGTGACTGTATCATCGGATCTCACCATAAACTAGAAATTACATTTACATTAGTAGTTGTAGAAAGGAAAAAAGGACACAATGGAAACGAGTTAAGAGTAACTCTCCACCACTGTAGCTAGATACTATATACAGTCAGAAAGTGCAACAACTAGACACAAAACCGACACGCGAAACGTACGTCGTGTGAAACAACTTGTTTTGTAGTCAACTAGTCCATCACAATGTCATGCATAAGGAGTACCGTTGGAGTTTGGCGTTCGGCTTGTACAAATCGTTTTCGCAAGGCTTCCCCCTTCTGTACTTATCTTTGATACAAGTATTTCTGAGCCACCCAGGTTGGGTGGTGTGCTGCTTTGCTGCTTTAAATTGTAGTTAGACCGATTTGTCAAGTGTCCTACTGGTCTCGTCATCGTCCAGTAACAATCGACATTCTTTGTTCTGTTGAGACTGTAGCTTGTGCTCATTTTCGTTGCGCTTACCTTCCCCTCCCCTCTTTGGTCTCTCCAAAACCTTTAACCTTCCGAGTTGGAAGGCTGTTGGTTAGCGCTACGGAGATGTGTTGAAGCTAGGTGTCAGGACGTCGAATGTCTCAGTACTCTGTCAGTTGTGTGCCTACAGTCCATTCACAAAAAGATGGGCCGTGGCTCTGGCGAGCTCCCGTATTTGGCGATTTTCAAGATTTTATCGTACACAGTGCAGTGCTGCGAAATTTGAAATTTGAAAAAGGGTCCAAAAAGGGTACCTGAACTGGGGTTCGAACCGCACTGTTGCAGGCAGGGTCAAACGGCCTGGATTTTGATGGTTTTTCCCAATTCAGTGCGCTTGGGGCAAAACCTGGCCGAAATCCTATTCTTGCTACGGCTTGCTATATGGAAAAATAGACTTCAGAAACAGAATTGGAAGAGGATTCCGTAGGGGATTGCAGAAAAAAATTGTAAAAACTCAACGTTTGACCCATTTATGGCCAAAAGCTAGAAGTCCATCTTTTTCTGAATGGACTGTAGTTGTTGCACTTTCTGACTGTATATAGTATCTAGTTACAGTGGTGGAGAGTTACTCTTAACTCGTTTCCATATGTCCTTTTTCTTTTCTACATTATTTTATTATTGCCTCAATACCCGAGTTTCACATTAGTAGTTGCTTACATATGTGGGTAGTTGATATCTTCAGTCTCAGATTATTGACTCAGTCGAGCAAATGATCAAAAAGCCACGTGTTGAGAATGCAGAAGTGTAAAGAGCTCAAGCCATGACACTTGAAAAGTAATTCTACTGGAAGTATGCTGCAAGAAAATTTGTGCTCAAGGATATTGGGCCCCCATTCGAGTCAGCGACCCTAAATCTATGGACTGAGTTTTAATTTTGTGGAAAGTTACCTATTCGAAATAGCGAGGCCACTTCAGCATTCTCTGTCACACTTGATTGTATGTGCTCCGCTACTGTTGTGGTCCCGTTGTTGTACCCGATCCGTTCCGGGATCGGTTACCCATATGCATTCCCGTACTGTGTACATATATGGATCCTGGTTGTGCATCTTTATCTTTCGTTGTTCTATGTAAATAAACTTTAGTTGTTGTCTGGGACTTGTGGAGTGAAGTTGATCTATGGAGTGCGGGAACTAACCGTTGATGTTCACTCAGGAACATTACATGGTGTCAGAAGTAGCAGTTAGTCATGTCGTCTGCCAAATTTCCTGTACCTGCCCCGTTCGATTTCTCCACCCCAGAAGCATGGCCACTCTGGAAGACCCGTTTTGAACGCTTTAGTTCTTTGTCCAAATTGGACGAGGCGGACGGGCAACGCCAAGTAGACACATTAGTTTACTCCATGGGAGCCGAAGCCGATCCTATCTTTGAGTCTCTATCTCTGTCCGCGGATGATAAGAAGAAACTCGACAAGGTACTGGAGGCCTTTGACAAGTATTTTCGCCCGGGTGTAAACGTAATCCACCAACGGACATTGTTTGAAAGGTGTGTCCAGAACCCAGGTGAATCCGTGGAAGAGTATGTGCGTCGTCTCCGTGCCGCAGCCAAATATTGCGCGTTTGACAAGTCCGATGAGCGTATCCGCGACAGGTTGGTGGCCCATATGACGAACCGAGAAGTTTCGAAGAAGCTACAGCTAGAGGATCACGCTCAGCTGACACTCGACACTGCCGTGAGCTTGGCACGCAAAACGGAGTCCGTAAACGCCGAGGTCGCCCAGCAAACGCCCCGGGTGAGCCAAGCTGCTGCAGCTACCTCACCGCAACGGAAACACGGCAAGTCCCCAGCTTACACAAGTAATAGTTACGGATCGACGGGAAAGCGACCACAGGTCAAGTCCCAACGAGACTCGAGCAACAGTAAGAAGTGCTCGTGGTGTGGCTCCTCCAAAGACCACAAATCGAACCGTGACGAATGCCCTGCCAAGGACAAGTCTTGTAACAAGTGTCGTAAGTCTGGACACTTCGCCAGCGTCTGCCGGTCTGCCTCCGCCAGTGCAGCACACAACGATTATGTGCATGTAGCTGAGTTTGACTTGCAGTCGGACCCCGTCGGCGAAAATTTCCTTGGAGCTGCTTCTACCCACACCGCTGACGAGCCGTGGATAGTACGACTGGATCTGTGCGGCTCACACCTCGATTTCAAAATCGACACTGGAGCTGATCTCAACATTATGACGCAGGCCAGCTACAACTCTTTATCTGCACCGCCAGTACTCAGTCCGTGCCAGACACGTATGATTGGGCCTGATGGGAACCAGCTCACGATACAGGGTGAGTTCCACACTTGTGCTGTGTTCCGTGATGTACAGTACCCAGTCACTATCCTGGTCATTGCCACCGGTGGTGTCAACTTGTTGAGCAGGCAGACATCTGAACAGATGGGCCTAGTACAACGTCTTCATGTTGGCTCTTCAGATGCCCAGCCGAAAATCGGATGCATGCTAGGCAAGCCAGTCGAGATTGAGTTGAAGCCAGACTGCAAACCATACAACTGTGTAAATGCTCGACGCATTCCAATACACATCCGCCTCAAGGTTCGCACCGAGCTGGAGCGTATGGAAAAAGCAGGTGTCATCACAAAAGTCGAGCAGCCGACCGACTGGTGTTCACCCCTCGTGTCGGTCCTCAAGCCGAACGGCAACGTGCGTGTATGCGTAGACCTCAAGCGCCTGAATGCCAGCGTCAAGAGAGAGCACTACCCGTTACCGACCGTGGACGACACGCTCGCACAACTCAACGGTTCTACCATATTCTCTACGCTGGACACCACGTCTGGCTTCTGGCAGATCCCACTCTCCGAGGAAGCGTCGTTGCTGACGACGTTTATCACTCCCTATGGCCGCTTCAAGTTCGAGCGCCTTCCCTTCGGCATAACGAGCGCGCCTGAGATATTCCAGCGCCGGCTACAAGGTCTACTCAGCGATATTCCCAACGTAGCAGTGTTCATAGACGACATCATCGTCTATGCTTCATCGATGGCTGAGCATGATGCTGCTCTGCTCGCCGTCGAGAACCGACTCCGTGATGCCGGTCTGACACTGAATCCAAACAAGTCTAAGTTCAGATGCACGTCCCTAAAGTACCTGGGCCATCGGATCAGCGACAAGGGTGTCCACCCTGACCCAGCTAAGCTGGATGCCATTGAGCGCCTCGCAGCACCAGCTGATGTGGAAGAGCTCCGTCGTGCACTCGGACTCTTCACGTACCTCTCCAAGTTTCTGCCGTCATTGTCGACCGTAGCCGCCCCACTGCGCGAGCTACTCCGGTGCGACGCGACGTGGCAATGGACCAGAGCACATGAGCTAGCTTTCACAGAGCTCAAACGCCTAGCTGCCTCAACCCCGTGTCTCGCGTACTACGACCCGTCCGCACCGACCATCGTCACGGCTGATGCGAGCAGCTATGGATTGGGTGCTGCACTGCTACAGTTCCACGACAATGAGTGGAAGCCGGTCGCGTACGCCTCACGCACCATGACAGCAGCAGAGAAACGGTATGCCCAGATCGAGAAAGAGCTCCTCGCCTCGGTCTGGGGATGTGAACACTTCCATCAATACCTCTACGGAGCGCCCCGATTTACTATTCAGGCGGACCACAAGCCGCTGGTCCCACTAATGAACACGCGTGACCTCGACCGAGTACCTCTACGCTGCCAACGTCTACTGATCAGACTCATGCGCTATGATGTACAGGCGGAGTACGTGCCTGGCAAGAACATGGTTCTCGCCGACACGCTGTCCAGAGCTCCTCTTCCTGACACGCCAGCAACCGAATCCGACCTACACAGTGACTCGGAAGCCACCATCGCCGATGTACTGTCGTCTCTATGCAGTCCTACCAAGCAACACGTTCTCGTTACAGCCACTGCTGACGATCCAGTCCTGCAACAAGTCATCCAGCATACCCTCCATGGCTGGCCGACCAAGGTCAACGCAGACCTGGAAGCCTATCGCAACGAACGTGGCTCACTCTCAGTTCATGACGGTCTGCTGTACCACGGATTTCGGATCGTAGTCCCGGCATCCGAGCGCAACGCTACACTTGCCACTTTGCACGACGGTCACCAAGGCACAACCAAGTGCCTGGCCCGTGCGAAGTCCTCCGTCTGGTGGCCAGGTATCACACGTGCCATTTCAGAATGCGTGCAGAACTGCCTGACCTGCACCAAGCATCGTTTTCAGCCGCCAGAGCCTCTGTCTCCAACTGCGTTTCCCTCTTTGCCATGGGAGAGAATAGGAGTCGACCTCTGCCAACATGACGGTCAGGAGTACCTCATTGCTGTCGACTACTTTCCAGGTACATTCACGCCATCCCGCTACGGAAGACTACCTCTGGAGCCGTCATCAAGGAACTCCACGAGCTGTTCGCCATCCATGGCATCCCTCAAGTCCTTGTGTCGGACAACGGTCCACAGTTCGCAAGTGCTGAATTCGCCGCATTCACAGCCCAAATGCAGCTCACCCACCGCACCAGTAGCCCGCACTACCCACAGAGCAACGGTGAAGCTGAGCGAGCAATTCGAACATTCAAGCGTCTCCTGAAGACCAACAACAGCCTCAACGATGCCCTACTCAGTTACAGGTCAACACCCCTCGCAAATGGCTACTCGCCAGCCGAGCTCCTGTTTGGTCGTCGTCTACGCACACACCTCCCATGTACAGCGGAATCCCTCGCTCCAAGTTGGCCTGATCTTGCCAAGCTAAGGAAGTTCGAGGTGAGGCAGAAAGACAGACAGAGTGAGACGTACGACTCGTCACACCGAGCACAGTCTCTGCCACCATTGACCCAAGGCGACCGAGTCTGGGTGCAAGATCTCGCTTCCGAAGCCGTGATTGCAGACCGCGTCTCCGACAGATCCTATATTGTCACGACTGACAACCTGTCCGAGTACCGCCGCAACCGTCGCCACGTCAAGTTGCTACCTGATGTGCAACCAACACCAACACCGCAGTTGAATGTCACTACACCTGCAGAGCCTCCATCCGCTGATGTCGAGTTCCAGCCTACCTTGCGCCGATCAGCACGTCCATCCCGGCCGCTGAACAGACTCGACCTGTAAACGCATTAGTCATTACTCATGCTATGATCACTCCAGTCGCTGACGCTGATGATCGTGAACTGCATGTAGTATTTGTCTGTCTCTACCCTATCTCCTCTGTATGTATATGACTAAATATTCTTCGAGCTGTTACCTCTGTAACCTCTCTCTCTCTTCGAACATAAAAAGGGAGATGTTGTGGTCCCGTTGTTGTACCCGATCCGTTCCGGGATCGGTTACCCATATGCATTCCCGTACTGTGTACATATATGGATCCTGGTTGTGCATCTTTATCTTTCGTTGTTCTATGTAAATAAACTTTAGTTGTTGTCTGGGACTTGTGGAGTGAAGTTGATCTATGGAGTGCGGGAACTAACTTGATGTTCACTCAGGAACATTACAGCTACTATGGAAGAAGACACCAGTCTCCTAAATTGGACCATCTTGCGGAACAACTGATTCTGGTCTAAGTGTGCATGAACTGATTTTGTCATTCCTCGGACCCTGTTGTAGGGGGTTCTCATGACGGTCGCAACGGCATTTGTCAGCAAGCGATGTGCTGAGTTGATATTATCGTATGATGATGCTTCTTTGTCAGGACGTTTCCCTATCTTTGGAAATCAGTGTGGGGATTGTGAAGACAAGGTGAGTAATTAAAACAAAGAATAACAGAGAAGACAAAAATCCTCGTTGAAATATAAAGAGAATGCACCTAACTATTCCTCTATAGGTTGTTTCAATTCATCCGTCGACGAAAACAACTCCGAATGGGAACAATAGACTCAGTCACTGGTCTAAAAGAATCATCTTCGTCCCTTCTCTTCTGGCTTACACACAGAATAAAGTTTACTTCTGGGCACTAAAACAATACAGATATTGATCTGGTGAGGACGCAACCAGCGGTGTGGCCAGGATTTGGCTGAGGGACCGGATGGGGGGGGGGGGGGGGGACAATATTTTCTGTCCCACACGTCACCACAGCTATCCATCATTACAAAACATGTACATGTACATGCAATCACGGCCCATGTATTTCTTCCACACGTATCACAGTTTCACAGTTTCTACAATCATCAGTCATATTTGCGTGCTAGTTTGTACGTGAAGTATGTGGGTTACAGTGAGGGTTGCTTCCCACCCGCCTGTGCGGATTCAAGGGAAGTATGAGTTGCGAAGTTTGAAGAACATATTGAACGGTCTCCGCTGGGATGACAGCTACACCATAGCTCAGTGGTTAGAGCATCGCTTGCCTCAAGTTAGGGTCCCTGGTTCGAGTCCTGGTGATGACAGTCAATTTTGCAACGACTTGATCACTCCCTCTGTTTCCTGTTGGAACACGCGTCACAAGAACGCTTCGCAAAAGTCCATCCAGGCTCTGCTGGCCAGAGCTTGGCTTCTTCGGATGTTGCTGAGACTTTGCAGAAAAGTTGTCGAGTCAACCAATAATTCACGATTCAAATCCCGAGGCGATCATCCTCAAAACATCAGTGTACAAATTTGCGGAAAGAAGTGATCACTGAAGACACAAGTTTTGTTTTGTGCTGCGTTCAGCACATCACTGCACACCTCTCTTTTCAAAAGAGAGGTGTGCAGTGATGTGCCTTTAAAAAGGGGAAGCATACCCTAAACACAAATTTTCACCAGTTGTAGTCTTCGGGGTCCTGAGTCGAATGGTCCTGTTCCGAGGAAGCTGAGACACTCCCTTCCTCCTTTTTTCCCAATCAAACTCGCACACTTCCACCGAAACTGGGTGACTGCGACCTACTAGATGGGGACTTTTATGTGAAATGTCACTAAAAGCGCCGTTTCGTTCTTATAAGCACGGATATCCGCGATTAGGCCATATGTAGTAGTCTTTTGGACGCTGACTCGACTGGTTTTGGTCCGAAAAGGCTGCGATGCAGCGTTCGGCCCTTATTCCCACAATCGAACACGGGTGAGTAAGCGGTCACGTGCTCGTGCGTACACCAGGCACCTGGTCACCGTGCCTGCAGGCTACAACTGTCACACCTATTTCAACTCAAAGGTTCAAAGCCGGGTTGAACTCGAGTGACAGGAACGCTGCAAACGTTGTAGCCTGCGGGCACAGTGACCAGGTGCCTGGTGTACACATGAGCATGTGACCGCTCACTCACCTGTGTTCGATTGGGAATAAGGGCCGAACGCTGCATCGCAGCCTCTTCGGACCAAAACCAGTCGACTCAGCGTCCAAAAGACTACAACATATGGACCAATCGCGGTTATCCGTGCGTTTATAAGAATGAAATGTCGCTTTTAGTGACATGTTGCATACAAATCCTCATTTAGTAGGGCACAGTCACCCAGTTTCGGTGGAAGTGCGCGAGTTTGATTGGGAATAAAGGAGGAACGGAGCGTCTCAGCTTCCTCGGACCAAGACCATTCAACTCAGCACCCCAAAGCCTACAACTGGTGAAAATACAGAGTCGATCGTTTCTTTCGCAGTGCAATTAAAGGGGAAGTTAAGGCAAAAATCAAAATTTCACCAGTTGTAGTCTTCGGGGTGCTGAGTCGAATGGTCGTGGTCCGAGGAAGCTGAGACGCTCCCTTCCTACTTGAATCCCAATCGAACACGCGCACTTCCACCGAAACTGGGTGACTGCGCCCTACTAGATGGGGATTTGAATGCAAAATGTCACTAAAAGCGCCATTTCGTTCTTATAAAAGCACGGATGACCGCGATTGGCTCATATGTTGTAGTCTTTTGGACGCTGAGTCGACTGGTTTTGGTCCGAAAAGGCTGCGATGCAGCGTTCCTCCTTTATTCCCAATCGAACATGGTTGAACAAGCGGTCACGTCACGCGGCTCCTGCGTACACCAGTCACCTGGTCACCGTGCCTGCAGGGTACAACTTACTAGCCTGTTTGACCTTTTTTGGGTGCACTCCTGTCACTCGAGTTGAACCTTGGTGTGAAAGTTGTCGCCTGCTGGCGTGGTGACCAGGTGATTTGGGCACCCAGGAGCACGTGACCACTTGTTCAACCATGTTCGATTGGGAATAACGGAGGAACGCTACATCGCAGCCTTTTCGGACCAAAACCAGTCGACTCAGCGTCCAAAAGACTACAACATATGGGCCAATCGCGGTCATCCGTGCTTTTATAAGAGCGAAATGGCGCTTTTAGTGACATTTTGCATACAAATCCCCATCTAGTAGGGCGCAGTCACCCAGTTTCGGTGGAAGTGCGCGAGTTCTATTGGGATTCAAGTAGGAAGGGAGCGTCTCAGCTTTCTCGGACCAATACCATTCGACTCAGCACCCCGAAGACTACAACTGGTGTAATTTTGATTTTTGCCTTATCTTCCCCTTTAACGCCGCTCACGCATTGTGCAACCACCGTGGCTTTTGGACGCTCGCTTCCCACTGCCTGTGCAGCAGTCTGGTGTTTTCTCAAACCCAGGTTGAATTATTTGAGGGAGAGGCGCGCACCCTACGCACCCGCCCCCTCCCCCCCCCCTCCCCCTCCCCCCTTAAACACGCCATTGGAGACACGTTGAGGAGGTGACAACTTATCACAAAGATTGCTATCAACCAGGATACTTGGGGCAAAGTCTTTTGGGTAAGACGTATTTACTTGTTGTTCTAGCTAGAAATGATTTGTGTGGACAGGACAGGTTCACATTTTATTCAAAAGGCTTCTGACACCTCTGACATCAAGAAGCCAGGCGGACGCCCCCCCCCCCCCCCCCCCCAATGCGTTGGATCAACACTGTCCAGCAAGATCTCAAGAGTGCCTAACTTACCACCAGCAATGCCCAGACCCAAGCTCATGACCGTAAACAATGGCGAGAAACTGTCAACAGATGCGCTAGCTCATGCTTTGAGTGACATGCGAAACTGTATATTTTTCGAGACTGGTTGACTGTGCTCAACAGGGTAATCCCTGGGGCTTCATTACTACTATATTTTCCAGAAATTCTGGAAGCACTGTGCTAATCCCTGAATGGTCTGTACAATTGATACTATACTGCATTAGGTGTGTGCATCGAGGTGCACAATCCATTTCACATCCGGCTATAACATTGACCAACTGATCAAGACCGTAGAAAATGGGGGCAACGTGGCAGAGGAAACCAATGCTGCAGGCGAGAAAATGGCCGCAGATGAACTCAGTGACTCGCAGGAGAGTCCACTCAACAAGAGATGGCACGCTTGTCGACACTTGGTGAGTTTGTGTCAATAGACCAGACATGACGAGTATGATTGTTTTACCACCCATCCTTTACCTATACCCGCATCTCTCTAATGCCTAGCTGACATTTTGACATAAGGCTGACGGTACGTGATGTAAGAGCTTGTCGGGAAGATGAGGGAAGCCATACAATCTTATACCATAAGCTAGTCAGCTTGTACATGTACAACAAAGATGCAGCATGGGGTGTAGAATGTAATACAGACGTTGGTTCTAAAAAGAAAACACCAATCTTAGCCCACCCATGAATGCGCAATATGAACAGCGCACAGAGAATACCTTAAGCGGAGAAGGGAATGGTTAAGCGTTGTCCACGACTTTTCCCTGATATATATTTTTTCCTGAAGCCTCTTCCCTGTGCGTCACGAGACCATCCTTCAACGCTTGTCTGCATGGACTAACTTAAGTTGGCTTTGATACTCAAAGCCGATATTTCGAAAGTATCCGAACTACTTAAACATACTTCCTGAAATAAGTACCTGTATGGTTTGCACATGCAAAGCATACACTGGAGAAAATATATTCTCCAATGCACGCAAGTAAGGAGCAGGGATCCACCCACTACACCCTACACTTCACCACAGGCTGAGTGGATCCGAAAGTCGGTATTTAATGCTATATTTTGACTTCTGACGGCTTCTGACGTCATCGCTTTGAAGTCCTATGAAAGGTGGTAAATTCCTTAATGGTGTCTGTTGGTTCTGGACGAGTTTTGCTTCTCCAGGGACCATTATCAATAATTTCTTGAATTTATATATACACACAATAGGAGGACAGAGAAAGTGTTTTTACTCCGAGTTTCTCGCACTAAGCGATCATCAGAAAATTTGACTATATACTATAAAGAAGAGGCACCTGTGACGTGTGTTTGTCTGTGTGTTACGCAGAAGCGCTGCGGAGCAGCGCTGCCCTGAGCACGCGAAGCGTGCGAACAGTGTAGCTAGCGGCCGCAGAAGCACTGAGCATGCGAAGCGTGCGAATCGTGTAGCCACCACCACGTGCTGAGCACGTGTGCTGTTCATGTACTTGCTTCACCCGCATGCCACGTTTGGCCAGGCAGCGCTGGCCGGGTGCTGCTAGTTTATATATATAATTATATCCTCCCACCGTTTAGGAGCTGCATCTGCGTCTTGATCGAAGAGGGTGGTGGCGTTCCTGCGGATGCGGAAAACTGGGCCTTTGGTCGAGTCTCACGCGAACTGTGAAAAAAATATATCGCTCCGTCAGCGTGCTTTTCTTTACATTTTTGTTCAGGCCGAACCTACCGTGTCTCTGTTGCACATTGCCGCAGTTAACAACAATCCATTGATGTGCACGATGCTGATTGGGCGTGGTGTGGATGTTGATGTGTGCGATTCTGAGGTAGGTGTGGAATGGTTTGTCATCTTTGTCCTGCTCTAGCTAGTATTGTAAGTTTTTTAAACTTCTCTATTAGCGTGAAGTATTCTATTCTGGTTGTTAGCTAATTAGATGAACACAGAAGGAGAACGCATTGTATAATATAACTGGCGGAATACGGTAAACCTCTACCATGGAGGAGAAAAGTCCTCCGCCTTGAGGTGTGCTTTTTCTTTCCCTTCTGAATTTTCTCCTCTTGCCTTCAGTTTGACGAAGCGCCTGTTCACGTTGCCTCCTATGGGGGTCATGACTCTTTACGGGTACTTCTCGAGAATGGAGCCAATATTGACTTGCCGGATAAGGTATGGCATGCACCTTATCCCATGGTACACTACGTTTTGGGTGGTTTCAGCCAATTAGTGGCCGTTCTGAGCGGGGACTAGAGAGCGATATACCCTGCTGAGTTCAAAAGTATACCCCGCTCGGTTCACTCGGTTCGAAAACATACCCCGCTCGGTTTACATGGGTCACTCCGAGAGTAAATAGGGAAGCTTTAGTGTTTGTCACGCTCTATATTTGCGACAGTATCATGGGATCAATGGATTATGCCATTCATACTCCGTGTATCCCATGTCGCTCATATTTCCCTCGTGCTACTGCAATCGTGTAAATATTTGGCAGTAAACCCTCGTACTCATGGTAAAATCCGTACGTATTTCCCTGAATGTAAGTCGCACCTTTCAGCACTAAACATCAGGGCCAGCAAACGAGATGCGACTTACAATCGAGCATGACTTACTAGTGAAACGAGAGAGCTTGGAAGCTCAGGGCCCTACGCTATGCTTTTTTGCCTTGATGACCTAGACAAAAAAAGCATAGGGATGTTATAAATTCTTTAAAAAAATCCTATTTTTTACAGACATAACCTGGGATTCGAACCCGCACTATCGCGCGCCCTGCATGCATCCCCCGATACACTTCGCATACATACTAATTCTTCCAAGTTGCTTCACGTTATGATCTTGCATTTGAAAGCCCTATTTGAATATGCTTTGTGGCCAGCCGTCTTTGATGGTACGGTACGGTACGGGATAGGTACGGGACAGGTACGATCGAGGGTAGTATGACACCGTCTACCGCCTTGATGACGGCAAAGAAAGCATAGGGATGTTATAAATTTTTCAATTCTCCTATTTTTTTTCAGGCATATCCTGGGATTCGCACCCGCACTATCGCCCTACATGCATTCCCCCACACACTTCGCATTCATACCCATTCTTCCAAGTTGCTTCACGTTATGATCTTGCGTTTGAAAGCGTTTTGAATATTGCGGCCAGCTGTATGTGGCCAGCTGTGTTTGATGGTACGGTACGGTACGGGACAGATACGGGATAGCGCCAGGCGTGACACAAACACACAAACAAACAAACAAACACACAAATACCAAATTAAAGCTGTGTGGACCCTGGCTAGCGCCAGACGTTACTGAAGTAACGTCTTCTTTATAGCTACGGGAAAAAATATAATTGAAATGATAGGACATGGACCTGAAAAACGACGGTGTGACTTTCAATTGGGGAAATACGATGTGTTGGTGTTTTAAAGAGTTGATACAATTCACTCATGCAGTTCTGTATAGAAAGAAAGTACCGCGTGATTTGATTCAACAACAACCTACCTTCTGTAACCAGGTAATCATTTCATGTGTTCCAAGAACCTTTTCAAGGCTGATCTGCATTGTGACAAGAATGTGAATGTATATCCTATGACGTGTAATAGTTGTGTGGCAAGGTGACAGATTGGCATCCGCTTCGTGACAAGGTTTACTGCAGAGGGTTTATTATTATGGGCAATCAGTTGAGATTGGATTGGAGAAAAGGGTAGAGAGGGACAGAAGAGTACCAGTACCAGTACCACTAATCCCTACAACTCGTAGTGGGACGTTGTATTGTCCTACGTATTTGCATGCACACACAATCCATAGCATGACTGCACTGACACATACAGTACTGAACAGCGGCCAGGCTAGAATTTCATCAAGCACAGCATACCAATGTATACACGATGACTCAACAGCCCAAAGGCTGTAATACATGGAAATAAGAACGGTTTAGGCTAGGAGGCTGACCCCCCAGTTCTTCGGTGACCGACAGTACTGTACACACATACTCACACACACACACACACACACACGCGCACGCACACACACACACACGCGCGCGCGCACACACACACGCACACACAAACACACACATACTACTAACCTGTGTGTACACCACATGCCCTCTACTATTTACATGTTTTGAGTCTTGTGTTTGTTGTCCAACGCCTTGTATTGCCGCTTCATTTGTTACTGTTATTTATGTAAAGGCATCAGCTGGTCATGTTTGTTGTCCAACGCCTTGTATTGCCGCTTCATTTGTTACTGTTATTTCTGTAAAGGCATCAGCTGGTCATGTTTGTTGTCCAACGCCTTGTATTGCCGCTTCATTTCTTTCTGTTATTTCTTTAAAGGCATCAGATGGTCATGTTTGTTGTCCAACGCCTTGTATTGCTGCTTCATTTGTTACTGTTATTTCTGTAAAGGCATCAGATGGTCATGTTTGTTGTCCAACGCCTTGTATTGCTGCTTCATTTGTTACTGTTATATCTGTAAAGGCATCAGCTGGTCATGTTTGTTGTCTGCGCCTGCGCGGACTGCGTAGGTTGCGCATGCGTGCATTTGTACGCAGGCTTGTTGTTCTGTGTTTGCCTTCTTCTTGACACTCTCTTTGGAAAGAAACCTAAATTATCAGTCCTCTGTTTGCGGTGCACGCGATATGTGAAAGTAATCAGAAGGGCCTATCGTCTGGAACTACCCCCCCCCCTCTCCCCCCGACGACAATTGGCGCCCAGCTGGTGGCATCGTTCCCCATTGTCGTCGGGGGGGGGGGGGGGGTTAGTTCCAGACGATAGGCCCTTCTGATTACTCTCAGATATCACGTGCACCGCAAACACAGGACTGATGATTTAGGTTTCTTTCCAAAGAGAGTGTCAAGAAGAAGGCAAGCACAGAACAACAAGCTTGCGTACAAATGCACGCATGCGCAACCTACGCAGTCCGCGCAGGCACGGACAACATGTTGTTGTTGACTGCATGAGTAGTTGGTTAGCTCACATACGTTTACCGTTGTAAGGGTATAGCAGACATTCGAGGTAACCAACCAATGCACATGTTTGAAATAGAATATCATTCAGATGCGGATCCTATACTATTCCATCAAGCACGGGATCTGCCCTTCTTTTTCAGGCAGGCAACACACCTCTTCACCTTGCATCTAGACTTGGTAACTATGATGGTGTGCGCTTGTTGCTTGAGAAGGGTGCAAACGTACAAGTGAAGAACAAGGTACAGTATGCTATTTTTTATTTTTTATTATTTATTTTACGAGGTGAATTGCTATTTCTGGACATTGTACATTTCTGGACATTTCGAGTAAAATAATTTTTCGTCGCGTGTGGAGTCAAGTCAGTCAAGTTGATGAAGTTTTTTCTTGCCGTAGTTGACAGCTGGGCTGTTGTAGTTTCTCCTCGTGTCGGTGCCTTGTTGATAGCCTTTGCTTGTGAGGCATTTCAACGAGTTTTGTGGTACTATGTCGCATGAGAATTTTGAATTTTGAGTAAAATAAGAAGTAATGAACGAATCGTTGGCTTCCCCATGTGCACTCCACTTCAGACGCTGTATAGTCTTGGACCTCTTGGCTGGAAGTGTGCCCTATTCTTAATTCTATTTCGGGGATGGCATACATGTACATGTACATGCGCGGCTGTGTAAGGGCTTCATCACTTTGGACAGCTTATGATGGCTTTTTGAAAAATGAGAGGTGTCCTTCCTCAGTTCCATGCCTTCCAACCACTTGAACTCTACAAGGAAGAAGTTCAGTTTAAAGCCCCACATTGATCCTTTAGACAAATTCCTATTTCAGAACATAGCAACTAAGGGTTTTTTTTCGTTTGTGACAGCTTTGTAATACTTTGCTTGTTAAATGCTTTCACAAACATGAGGGTGGGGGTTCTTTCACGTGTTATCACATTTCGATTTTGTGTCATTTATGGCAGACATCTTATGTTCTCTGTTGTCCCCAGTTGCAGAGTATTGTTGGGCTTGTTCTTGAAGACAATGCAATGATCAAAAACAAAATCGTATCCCTAGCTGCACTGCCGGTCAAGGCCATCCCATGGATGAGAGGCAATGTAATTTCAGAAAGTTTAGGTGCTGAAATTTTTCGGTATGAGAGCAAAAGGACAGGTTAGGTGAACAGAACATTTAGGCCCAGAGAAACAGTTCCCTATTAAATTATCTGTGTTAGTGTTTGTTCAGTTGTTGAAAATTGGGTATGAAACAGATGCATTGAAAGTACCAAAAATAGAAGTACACCGAAAATAAGTGAAATTACAGTAAATAGCGCTGAGAAAGAAAATTGACAATTTCCATTTAGCTGTACAAAAGCAACCACATTACTATGCCTATTGACTACTTTTCGTTAAGGAAGCAAACAGTGAGTGGTTTGTTTTTTTCCTTACATTCTGCTATATACTGCAGGATGGGCAAACAAGCTTAGACCGCGCATGCGACTCCGAGTCACACGAAGAATCGACCATTTTCTGTGTCGAAGCATTACTGCACCACTGTATCACAAACCTTGGCACGGAAAAGGTGAGAGGTACTCCATGGTTCTAAACGGATTGCTGCAGAGCGTTGTGGAGACTCCATTGCAGCCACTGTCTTGAAAATCAGCATACAGCAGGAATTCAATTAGAAATGATTTGTGGATGTGCTTGAAGGCTCTTAGTCTATGCTCATTGCATTGACGCGCTATTGCATCAGCTGAGACTACCTCCTCGGTGGTTCGAATTGTCTTGCTGTTCTGTTGTTGGTTCAATGTTTGCGGACACTAGGCACTGGAGATGGCACGATCATCTAGAAGAGTCAGCCGACACAAATGTACCAGGACTCTCGAGGTAAATGGATGTTCTTTTGCACGAAAAATTTGGATTCGAATAAGTTTCAAGGAATTTTAAAGGAGTTCATAAGGACTGTCTTGCTTCTCAGGTTTTGAGCTAGGAAATGCATCATATGATTTTCGGCCCATTCAATTTTCGGCCTCTCAGGGCTAATGCCCATTTTGGCCGCATCAAAATTTCGGCCTGTACTGCTGCCGCCTGTACACTGTCGCACTGAACCTTGCAAAACAAAATTTCGGCCGCAACAAATTTTCGGCCAAACATGTCCAGGCGGAAAATAGCCCAGGGATGAATTTATCCAGTATCGCATCGCAGTTTGCGATGCAAAATCGACCTACTGCTACTCAAAAGTCACCGTGACTCGCAGAAAACTGTGATACATACAGATTATCCATGCCTAGCCTGTGCTGTCAACTAACATGCATACAGTGCAGTGTATGTGGTGCAGGCACTCTCAATCTGCATGCACATGTATGATTCAGTCGATTTTTTTGCAAATGGGCTTTCAGGCATCACTCTCAAGAAGGACAATGTGGTAAACACCCAACCTTCAAAGAAAAATGCTAATCAAAATCAAAGACTGCTGCACAATTGTGATTTTGTATAGAAGAAACTGCTATGCAAAAATATGACAATAAATTCATCCCTGTAGCCGAAAATAAAGATGCGCCGAATATTTGTTGACATACAGTAGTGTAGTGTACAGGTGGAGATATTGCACATCATGATCTGTGCTTAGCTGAATACAGGTCAGTATGGGCGCTTCATTCTCGTGTTCTATTGTTAGAAACTGAAAGCTTCTGTTGAGAACTCTCTCATACGCCAACAAACTAAAAGAGAATGACAAAGAAAACCAAAGTCTGTGTGCAAGTCAATATCTCTGATTTGGCTTGAATTTTGCAATTCATATAACCAAAATCACATGCGGATTTGAAAATAATAATCTCTGTCGTCGATGTTAGTATCGCTGATGGATAAGTTCTACCCATCCATCAGTGACACTGACTCACACTGCTATCTGGTGTTCACGAGGTGTTTCTCGCCCTGGAAACGGAGCGTCGCTGTAAGTTTGTATCCCTGGTGATGGGTTAGTCTGGACAGCGCTGTATAAGTGGCGCTCTTCAGGCACAATGGACGCGGGATGCAGCGAATGGGATTTTCGGTCTTTGACCACTTTGTGGTGGATCTGATCTACTCACCTCCCATCGCTTTCGGTGCTGCATCTGCACATTGATCCACATAGGGTGGTGGCGTCACTACGGATGCGAAAGACTCGGCTGGAGGCCGAGTCTAACGCGAACCGTGAATTTTTTCAGGCACAATCTTCCTCAGCCTACTGAATCTCAACTGATGAGGGATGGGGGTCCCCGAAACACTGTGTTTTGAGCAGGGAGTGGTGCTTTCTTGCAGGCTTGCAGAGTGGAAGGTTCAATGGACTTCTCATGCGCTCTGGATGGCAGTCACGGCTCCAGTCAAGGGAGCAAACGACTTCCCTATTATCCAATAAAGTGATGTTTACAGTTGAGCCAACTTTCCTTTGAAGTACCTGGCTGAAATGACATGCATGTGATCAGTGGCGTGCACCGAGTCTTGAAAGGGGGGTTTCCAGAGTTGGTAAATTTTTATCTGGAGACCTACTGTATAATCATGATTTGTGCACATGCACATCCCCCGAAAATCCCGTCCGAGATAACGGTGAGGGCTAGGGAGGAGAGGGGGGGGGGGGCTCAAGATCAGTGGTGCAGGGCACCAATGGACTCTGGTGCTGATGAGATGTGGGGCTCCTCCGACCGCTATCATGCCGGCACAAACGCTTCTGAAAGGGAACCAGGTCCAGGGGTAGAAAGGACAGAAATAAGAGTAATGAGGAGGGTACGATGTTACATGGAAATGTTGGCATGGATAAAACGGGTTACCTTTTACATACCAGCTTATTTGTAAAGAGGGTGCAAAAGTCAATGACTTGTACATATTATGACTGTACATGTTTGTTATTATTGAACACGAAAAGTTTGATAGGCCTAGCCGCCCAGGCTACACTACAGTCTACAGTCTATAACAGGTACTTCACTAGTCCACTCCAGGCATGTTCATTTTCATCTAAACACTGCTTTCATTCGACGGTATCTTTCTTTCTGTTCTTATGACGAAGTTTTCAAGATGTATTGGCAATGTTCCACATGATTCAATCAAGAGTTATGGACCTTGCTTCGATGGAAACTTGCGGAAGAAAAGCGAAGCCCCGCGTCCTTGAATTGCGGCCGGAGCAGCGCTTTGTTCTGAAGCAGCGCAAGTGGATCATGGACGCACATTTTTACGTCTTCCAGTCGACAACGGTTTTGACGAACATCTCTGCTGCGCACATGAGCGAGAACGAAAGGCTGTGGAGATCTTGATTTGAGTCAACAGTTTGGAAGGAGATATCGTCAATCATATCCTTGAACAGACTTGCATCACGCGTGCTTGACTCAAGTTTCGAGACAAAACGGATTTCTTGAACGTCGTCGCCAATCAAGGAGCGGACCAGAGCTAGAGATTGATCTCTCTGCCGCTACTCTCCACTGAAGAAAGAGAGAATAATGTATTTTGAACTGCATGCAAAGCAACTCTCTCTCACTTCGAAATAAGGACATAGTCACTGTACTGTAAACTGCCGGCCCGTCGATCGACGCGTAGATCTACGTATGCACAATAACCAATCCAGTGGGCACACTTTTCCTTTGGCAAGATTGCCCGAAAAAAGGTGGTTTCCAGACACCAAAAAACTCATACGGTGCACGCGCCTGTGTGATGTTATTTGTTCTGCTGTCTTTCCTCAGACATTTATCACATTTCACGAGTTGCTCATGGATGGAAGTGAAGATCCGAATGATCTTGTCATCATGGTGAGCGGTGCTGGAGAAGTGGGCAAGTCCACTATGATAGCTACACTCACCAGTACGACTGACACGCGGAAGGAAGATCCTGAAAGAACCAAGGGAATCCAGATCACGACACATCAGGTCAAAGACGGACCTGTGCTACACTTCAAGGACATGGCAGGCCAGGAAGACTTCTGCGTGACACATGACATCTTCTCGCTGTCCTCGGCCGTTCCCAGTATTGGCCTGATCACAGTGAGTGGAACAATGGACATCGAGGACATCACGTATAGCATGAAGAAAACTGCTGGCAGTTTCTTGAGCAGACGGAAGGCGCCTATTGTCTCAGGTAAAATCCATATTTTGTCATGTAATGTCCATATGCGAATAACAAACAAAATATCCACAATTCAGAAGTAGTAGTCTCGCCTCGACAGCTGTCCACCGAATTTGACCTGTGATGTGTTTTTTAAAGTCACTATGTATGTGGGGAGTCCCTGAACATAATGATTTATCGTAGATTTCCACAAAGTGGTATCAGCAGCACATGAATCAGTGGGATCACCACCTTACATGTAAATGATAGCCAAATTGTTTCTTTTAAAATTAAATGAATAGGCGACGAGGAGACAATAACTTTATTAAGGCACTAAATAGTATAAGCGAAGCGGACATTACGAAATGATCAATGAGAATACATGTATGTTAAAATTGATGTTCCTAATCGATTTCTTGAGACTATCATCAGGGAAAAATCGTCTCACAATAGAAGCTATGCGGAGAAACAAACTACTTACCGTATTATCTCTAATATAAGCACGGTCCTGTATTTTTTCAATGTACCTCCGCCCCGTGCTATTAATGGAGACGTTCCTTTATTGGAGACTGTTCCATTATTATTTCAACCTCATTTCAGAGGCATGTTGCCATGCCAAATTTATATGTCAGACACACATATTTCAGGGTTTTTTCTCTGGTACAGATAATGAATTTACACAGTGTGCTTATAATGGAGACTGAGCACTTTATTTTTTGAATGCCGCTCCAAGGTGTTCTATTATTGGAGACGTGATATTATTGGAGACTGTGCTTATATTAGAGATAATACGGTATATATCTATACGATAGTGGGAAGTATACAAGGTGAGGTCACCTTTTGTAGTAGCTCACACCGTTGGAACACTCTCACATCTTTTCTTCTTCTTTCTTTCGTCTTCTCTCCCACTTTAGTTTTTTTCACACCTCACCTTGTATACTTCCCACTATCGTATAGACGTATAAGTAGTTTGTTTCTCCGCATAGCTTCTATTGTGAGACGATTTTTCCCTGATGTCTCAAGAAAATCGATTAGGAACATCAATTTTAACATACATTTATTCTCATTGATCATTTCGTAATTTCTGCTTCGTTTATACTATTTATCACCTTTTTAAAATTAAGAACTCAGATGGTGAACCAAGGAAATATAAAATTAAAAACACTTTCATGTCGTGGAATGTCTCAGTACTCCTTGTCAGTTTGGTGCCGCAAGTAAATTGTGCACATCTGACTGTTCGAAATCTTGTTTAGTTGGTGGACGCAACGCATAACTTGTGGCCCGTTGTTATCCATGTTTTCAATCGAAAATCGTTTCTTGCTTGCATTTGGTGGATTGTTGGCTGTTGCATGATGCATTTACAGTACTCTACATTCACACGGTATTTTTTGTTTTCTCTTTTTGTTTGCATTGTCCCGATGATCACATTCTCCCCTGCAGGCAAGCAGGTCTCATCGTTGTTCACAGTTTTGGTGGTTGTGACTCACCTAGACAAGATCAAAGAGGAAAAACTTGATGCGATCTCTGATGCGTACCAGGCTGTGCGCAACGAATTCCGAAAAAAGCTTTCGTTCGAGCGATTTCTACCATTGAATGCAAAGGAGAAGGATGAGCGTTTCGCAGCATTCGAGAAGGAGCTGATATCTGTCTGCATGGAAGAGTTGAAGGTACGTTGAGAGAGTGCAGGAGGAAGAGAGACGATAGAGCAAGAGATGAATTTATGACATTTTAAAACAATGATAAGTGATCAGCTGGCACCGGATGGCTTCAAGAAGCCTTCTTTCCCTCCTTCACTGGCTAAAATTGTATAATTTGCATTTTACAACACACGACAAACTCTCAGGTTGACTTTGTCGGTCTCTGGATTTCTATAACACCTTTTCACACAAACAGTCAATATAAAGCATACGTTGTGGGTTGCATACAGCCGTGCATAGCCATAAAATATATCATACCGAGACTAATATCAATCCCAAATGCAATCCACAAAGACAGGTACGAAGACCACTATAGATCCTCCCTCACTAAAATGAGTCCGGTTAGTGCTTGCACATAAACCCCATCAGTAAATAGAAATCTTAAGTTCCCTAGAGTAACGTGGTCTATACAACTGCTTACAAATCCGGTTACAACAGAATCCGTTTGTACATAAAGATCATGACTACTTGACCATGCAGTGTTCCTGGAGTACCAAACTCTCAATGTGTGATAACATTATGCATGCAGGACCAAGGTCAAAGCACAGATGATAAAGCAGAAAAACACAAAGTAATGTATCTGAGTATTTGTTGAAATATATGATCTTATCTAAAACGACCAGCCGTGTTTGAGATTTTTAATTATCTTAGAACAACGTGAAGAGCCAATACTTTATGTGGTATTGAGGGTACCCAGTTACGTGTATGAATCAGTACTTGTTGCGCCTTTAGTTGTATGTTCTGTTGCAGGATAAGTCTCTTTGTAAGATAACTTATTTCGCTATTTCTCTGTGTATCTATCTATGTGTATTTCTCTGTCTCTCTCTCTGTCTCTCTCTCTCTCTCTCTCTCTCTCCCTCTCTCTCTCTCTCTCTCTCTCTCTCTCTCTCTCTCTCTCACACACACACACACACTCACACACACACACACACACACACACACACACACACACACACACACACACACACACACACACACACACACACACACATACTCCCTCTGTCTCTGTCTCTCTCTATGTATGTGTGTGTGTGTGTGTCTCTTCTCTCTCTCTCTCTCTCTCTCTCTCTCTCTCTCTCTCTCTCTCTCTCTCTCTCTCTCTCTCTCTCTCTCTCTCTCTCTCTCTCTCTCTCTCTCTCTCTCTCTCTCTCTCTCTCTCTCTATCCATCCATCCATCTGCCTATCTCTCTCCTGTGGGCTATTTCTCCGTGTATCTATCTATCTTTATATCTATCTCTTGCGCTATGCTATTGCAGAAGGCTCCAAAGCAACCGAAGATTCTGAGTCAGGCAGCAGAAGTATTGCGCTCAGTGCAGAATGACATTGGCAAACCGTACTCCAGCAAGGACATGTTCACAAACAGCCTTTGCACCGCACTAAACCTGACACAGCTCAGCAATCCGGACACGATTGACAAGCAGGTGATGTCATTCACGAAAGCGCTGACTGCATACGGACTGGTGAGATTTCAGCTTTTCTTACCATATGCGGGGACTCAAGCAGACAAAACGGCTGCATTTCGAGTGTGAAAAGGAGATGGCGTCGTGCACCGACTCCTCTCGATGCATACTTGGAAATTTGTAGCATTTCAAACACTGCGCTTCCCATGATAACTCGTTGAATGGCTAACACGACTGAGTTGAATTTTCAATAGCAAGATAAGATTTCATGTCACTTCCTACATTTAGGCATAGTTCAGGAATGTGACAGATGAACTGTTTTATCATTTCCTGGGGCTGTTGTTAGAATGGCACAACTTTCAGGGCTACTTTTTGGGTTTTCATGAAAAACTGGTATTGTGCACTTGATTCCGCTTTATTCGAGTAGAAACAATTAACCTTTTGAGCACGCGTGACGTTCTGACACGTCATGACCAGTGCCACTGTGACACGCGTGACGTTCTAGAACGTCACGAGTCAGTGCGGAACTACATCGATCCCGCGTTTCTTCCGTGGCGTGGCGTCGAGCTGTACCGCTGCACAGAGGACTCCTAGGATGTACGCGTACCGTAAAAAAAATGCGAGTCGCTCCGTAAGTTTGAACTGGAGTTACATGCGCGTGCATGCATTTCAAAATACCAATTTCGCGTAAAACTACCTTTCTGAAAACGGTCATAACTGTTGTAATCTTTGTTCTATTTCCAAAACAAAAACAGTTCTGTGCTCAGGATACATGAAAGAATCGTTTGAAATCAAGTTTGCTCACATAGAGTGAATTTAAATTTTTTTACTGCGTGGCAGAGGTTTTCAGTGGGCCCGGGCTCAAAAGGTTAAGAGAAGTCCCAAAAAACAAGAAATTAGGCCCGAAAGTTACCCCGTTATGAATCACGCCGTTCGACATGACATCACAACAACTGCTGCATGTCATGTCATACGGATCGTACAAGATTTTACAGCTCACCCCAGTCCCGACAGGCCCATACGTCTCGTACCATTAGCGTTACGTCGAGTGTTAACCGCTGGCTTTGTGAGACATACCCCATGGAAATCATGAAAACGTTCACTTATTAATAATAAGTTATTATGCAATCAAAAGAAAGGACCAACATGTTATGTGTTGTCCGTAGTTTGTGTCCAACACTAGCAGTTGCAGTTGTAAGCAGGATGTTGTGTAGTCAGAAGGTGCAACAGCTAGTACAATACTGACTGATGTGATACTGACACTCAACCACATGTTAAGCTCTATCACGTGTTGTATGCGCAAATCAACCGCCTTCCAACTCGGAAGGTTATAACTTATGAAATAACATGAGAAAGGGAGAGGTGAGTGCACTCAAGACGAAAACAAGCCGGCTAAATATCACTGCGAACTAAGAACGTTAGTTTTGACGAGATGGTGACGAAAGACGAAGGGTCACAGCAAAGGACGGCCACGGCTCACACAATGGATAAAATGTAAGATTTTGGTCCTTTCTTTTAATTTTTTGGAAGCGGAAGGATTTTTCCAGCCATGCTGCGACCCACAGTTAATTGGGAACTCATGGCCTGGCACGAGGGAAACATGGATGCAGTGAATGGGATTTTCGGTGTTTGACCACTTTGTGGTGGGTCTGATCTACTCACCTCCCACCGCTTTAGGAGCTGCATCTGCGCCTTGATCCTAGAGGGTGATGACGTTCCTGCGGATGCTGAAAACTCGGCCTTGAGCCGAGTCTCACCGTGAATTTTTTCATTTTTTTATAATCCTAGGCTCTCCATCCGAGTCTCATTATGCAATGTACTTCTTATTCAAACTTAGTTTGTTTTTTTAATATGTAGCAACACACCTGTGCCCTGAGACTAAAATTTAATGTGGTTCCTAAGTAAGTGTTTCGTATTTTCAATGGTGTTAGTCGCACTTTACCGCGCGTAAAAGAAAAACCAAAAATCGACCCTGCGGCTTACACCCCTGATGCAGGGTGCGAATCGACAAGCATCACAGAGACCCATGCATAAAAATGAATGTTTGGTATCCTTTCACATTGTTACGCATAGCGCAATCCATCATTGCACTTTAAAAACATGCGGCTATGCACTCTTACTCCAAATGTCTCAAAAATACGAATTTTAGGTCTTGACAGGGTGGGGGGGGGGGGGTACGGCTAGCACCCCAGAAACACGGTATGTTTTATGAGAGCACATACATACTAGATTAGTTTAGTTTTATTCCAAGCAATACATGGCTGGGGTAGCCAATGACCACTTTGCGTGGTGATTGCAAGGTTTTTATAGCCAACCATGGCTAACAAGGAAAAAGCTTACATTGTACCCTATTTCAAGGCAAAACAGCAATGTGAAGGAGATGGGATTGATCTGTTTCTACGTTTGATCCATTCTGTAACACTCTGATGTCGTGTATGACAGATCGTTTCTTTCAATGCTGCGCAACTGAAGGGTCTCATTGTCAACCGTCCTGGCTGGCTATTGGAGCATGCCGTCGGTGTTGTCTTCTCACCGGGGAACTTCAAGGGTGTCATTGTGAAGTTCATCAATGGTGCAGCACCACTGGAAGATGTTATTCGCACGCTCAACGAATGTAAGGAAGCGGAAGGGGAAGGGCTAATGATCCTACGCATGGTCATTCAACTCGGTGTAGCTCTTCAAGTTGGTGAGGAGCTGCTGGCCCCGCAAAAACTACCATTGTCAAGCTGCCGCCTGGGTACAATGCTGAAAGAAGATGCTGAGGACACCGCCAAAATCTTCTATGCTGGCATGGAATTTGTTTGTGAGGATGCCCCGGGCTTCTCCCCCGCTATGGTTGTCCGCGTGCAAACCCAGCTCTATGCATATTTTAATGACAAAAATCACCCATTGAGCAACCTGGACAAGAATCCCGTGTGCAAGCTACACAAGAATATTGTTGAAATCGCCACAGGAGATTCCTCGGCACTAGGCTGCGTGTCATTCTGTGAGAGTATGCTTCGCGCCGTTGCTGTTGTTCGGGCTGATGAAGCAGATCGTTTTGATGCGTTCTGCTTGCTCAACATCCTGCAACTGGTGTTCTTTGATATGAACGAGCAGCATAGCCCTGGCACGTCATTCCAGATGAAAGCTGTCAGCCCATCGTCGATACGCAACCAGCTGTCAACTGTCTCCAAAGACTTCTCGTTCGTTTCTTATGATACAGATCACGTACGTCGAAACTTCTCCAATGGAAGACCTCTTCGCACCGGTGCTTTCAGAGACAAACCTTCAGACTTCCTGTGCCTGCCAGAGAATCATGCGTCACTGCTGCCCGACTCAGTGGTCGAAAAGCTCGACTTGGCTCTCGATCAAGAAGATCTTGTCAGGTTTGCAAGTCTCCTGAAGCGCCCACGGGCCCGGGCCAGTGTAGATGACAGCACCACAGTCACAAGCCTGATCAGAACGTGGTCGTTTGCTGATGTGCGAAACACCACAACCAAGCTGTTTGAAGTACTGGCAAGATCTGATGAAGCTGGGACGTATGGTGATATCTGCAGCATCCTGGAGGAACATGAGGAACGTGTGAGTTGAAGAGAATTGTTTGAGTCACACTGATCTAAGTAGTGTAAAGGTATGATTGTATCGTACAATCTAGGAGGGGATCCAGCAGCTGGCACACAAGGAGCAGAATCATGCCAATCTATCGGCAGTCCAGAAAGCTCCAGAGTACTTGCAAAAAGTGCACCAAACTTAGTTGCATTCGTTAAAACGTATGAGTCACGTTGTACAGCACAATGATTGTGTGTCAAGTTCAACCCATACGCGTATGCACGTGATCTTCTTGGACAAAATCGAAGTTCCCACCAGGTTTCACTGTGAAAAAATAAATCTGCCTGGTTGGTCATTGCACAGCTTTTCTGCCTCTTCCCGGATATTTTCCACGAAGACGGTGTGGATGAAGAGGCCGCCAAAAAGGAGGCACACGAAGGAGAATCTGAGGTCTCAAGCGATGCTACGGGTAAGGCCATTTCGAAATGTACTGCAAAGGATCATTCTTCTCTATCATTGCTTAGAACCTTTCCTCTTCCTCCTTTTCTTATATCACCACCTTCATCATTTTGCAAGGACTGTGGCAATACGCCCAGTGAGAAGGCGGATTTTGCCTGTGCTTCTGGTGAACTAAAATATAGCTAAACAAACAAACCTGGAAAATACCAGTGCTTTCACTACCCACCATGCACAGACCTCTGACTAGCAGTCTGTCCAACGCTCAGGAACAGTCATACTAATCCTGTAGTTCCAGTAGATGTGCTAATGTCACTGATCTGTGACAACGAAGTATGGCATGAACACTTGTAGATGAATACACAATCTGCGCTGAATACATGTAGATGCACGGATGTTTCAAGAGTACACTGGTGCATCAGTATGTCCTTACGCATTGGCTGTACATGCACACAAATGTTCAGTAGGGGCCTGTTTCTAAAATAAAATCATGGTCGGAATATTACTGCTTGCATAGCGTTTAGGAACTCAGATGGCAAGCCGAGGTAATATCAAATTGAAAACAAGGAAAACGGTGGGGCACAAGTTTTGCATTAGAGTCCACCAACTACTAGGCTAAGTTAGACCAGATTTTAAACTGTCAAAAGTGCACGATTTAGCACCAAGCTGACAAGGAGAACTGAGAAATTCCACGGCATGAGAGTGAGCTTGAGCACTGCTCGATATCGCTAACCAATCACCTTCCAACTTGGAAGGTTCAAGGATATTGGTGATAATTCCAAAGAGGGGAGGTAAGCATCATCGAGCTGAACACAAGACATACCCCTCGGGAATGGAAAAAAAAGTACTGTAAAACCGGAAAGTCTAACGAGTCACAAAGTCTAACGTTTTAACCGCCAATTATTTTTCGTTATTAAAAAAAACGTTATCGCTAGATGTCTGTGTATAGATTCTCATACAGATGGGTGGCCAGGTAGCCATCGTTAAACTTTCTGCACGTTATCATGCCAAAATTGCAAAAACGTTAAAAACGTTTTGGGCGTTGGACTTTCCAGTTTTACAGTATGTACTATCCAAAGTTGACTCCTGTATCCAAAGTTGACTCCTGTGTCCAAAGTTGACTCCTGTGTCCAAAGTTGACTCCTGTGTCCAAAGTTGACTCTTGTGTCCAAAGTTGACTCCTGTGTCCAAAGTTGACTCCTGTGTCCAAAGTTGACTCCTGTGTCCAAAGTTGACTCCTGTGTCCAAAGTTGACTCCTGTGTCCAAAGTTGACTCCTGTGTCCAAAGTTGACTCCTGTGTCCAAAGTTGACTCCTGTGTCCAAAGTTGACTCCTGTGTCCAAAGTTGACTCCTGTGTCCAAAGTTGACTCCTGTGGCCCCAGCACCACGATACCGATGATGTTCAGTATGTCAAAATGCTCGAAACTATTCATTGCACTCAGAAATGTACGTGGTTAATGCCACTAAACCAGGCTTCCAGCGCTGCAAACAGCCTCCTCTGCACTGTCATCATACTGAAGTGCCGGTCAAGCGAACCTGTCATGTGTAAAGGTGTATGAAAACACCAAAAGGCACGTAGTATGCGAGGCTAGCTCTGTTGGGACCTGCTGAAAAGTCCGTCGTACACGAGTTGTACATCTTATCAGAGTATGTCATATCCGCACACATTTTGTATTTACGCTTAAGGGAGGAAAATCCGTGCGACGAAAAAGGTCTGCACTAAGTAGAGGATATAACCCGAGTCAGAGGGTTATCAATAAAACTATGAACGGCACCATTCGGATGTTTCTTCTAAAATACATAAAACTCTCCTCCTCCATGCGCTCTAAAGCCGACCACTGCTACCCTCGGTAGCCATTACTCACACCAATAATCTCAAACAACGAAGGGGTCACGGGTAAATAGTAGTAGTAGTAATAGTAGTTTTCTAAAAGAGGTCGGAGGCAGATAATACTTTACAAAACGAAGGTAAGTTTTGGGTCGCACGTATCCACGCAAACACACATCCAGTCAAATAAGGCACTTGTCAAAAGTATCCGAACGTTTTCGGTCCCTTTGAATGTGTTGTCACTGCAATTGGTTGGTGTTACTCCTCATCGAGGCAGCAGGTAAAGCATTCCAGCGATTATCAGCGAGAAAGGATATGATGTTTTAAAAGGTTTGTTTGTTTGTTTGAAGTTTTATTTTACATCGCAAACCAAACGGGCATTGATGCCCAATATTATGATGGCGATAGAATAAAAAGGGTGGCTCGATAAAGCTGTACTTGAGAAAATGAGAAAACAGTCAATAGGAAATATATGTACAGGTAATTACAAGTCAAGCACACTCACAGTGTTGCACTGCGCGCCTCCCAAAGGCTGGGTTTCCTACGAAAGGCAGCACCCATCCTGGACGACCATGGTCGAGTGACGGTCTACAAGGGATTCGTGCGACCCCTACTTGAATATGCCCCACTGGCCTGGTCGAGCGCAGCCGCAACTAACATGGCCCAGCTGGACAAGGTTCAGCAACGTGCCCTGCCCTGGTTTAGTCATAACACTATTTATATTATTTGGTGCAATACTAGCGCCCCTTTCTCGCACCAAATTATTATTTTTGGTACCTGACCATGCGACCCCCCTTTTTTCGATGCCAGGTTGCAACGCTAAAGCCGAGACCCCTGGTCGGTCGAGTTGCTCCCTGTACATCGGCACGTCGTCCCTACATCCCCTGTGTCTTGTTTTGTGTTTGTCTCCACATGTCTCTTTGTAGGGCTGTATTTCCCAATAAAATAAATAAATAAATAAAAAAAGTTCGAACAGAATTAACAATCAGAGAGAAATAGGGAGATGAGGACCTATGCCAGAGGGAGGTACTATTCGGCCATATTAGCCGTAGAAACGCTTTCAGCAATCTTTTAAACGGGGATGGACGAAGAGAGGACGTGAGTTCCTGTGGCAGGGTCATGCCTAGAACGCGCGACGGGAAGTGCAAGCATATGGCTAACTTGACCGCGTGTCTGCCGGTCAGTGTCGCTGGTGGCTGGGCGGAGAGTGAAAAGCCCATGCAAAAGCGCAATAGCATCACCATGCAGGCAGCGGTAAACGAAAACAAACAATTTACGGTTAAAGCGACGTACCAGAGGTGCAACATTAGCTATCGTCAAATAGTCGTTGGAAGATGCGTACGGAACAAGCCTCCAGGGTTGACTGTATCAGTTACAGACAGAACATACGACGACCTTCGTGGTTTATGTTCTTCTTGCCGTGTCTGAATGCACCAAGCTTCTGGTGTACCTTCTGCAGTACGAGTGCGCTCTCAATCTGCAGGTTGAAGGCTAGATGGTCGTCGATGATGACCCCCCGGTACTTTGCTGCACTTTGCGACATAGAGATCACCATTTCCTTCTGACAGCTGTTTCACCTATCAAAGGCTCTTCAGAGAAGGTGATACTGGATATTCAATTGACAGGGCAAAATTATTAGTAATATTCATAAGGTCAATTACAATATCCAGTACCGTATTTCCGCAAATAAAGGGACCGTCCTCGTATCCAATGCCTTCCTCGAATACAAGGCCGAGGCAGGGGGAGATTGAAAAAATACAAGACCGTCTCCGATTAGAAGACCGGGCCTATGAGGTGATTTGGCTTTTTTTTAACACTTGGTAGTTTTAACAAAGGTGTAAAATTTGCTTTTCTTCTGGCTGTTTCTCTGCTCTGGATGGCTGTATCGAAACATGGGTGGTGGCAAATGAGCCAGTTTATCGTACATCAACATTGACCAGAAAAATTGGTGCATATAATTTAATTATCCCTGCCACGTCGGTATAACTAGTGGTGGGTGCTTTGCCATTTTGTGTAAAATGTGTAAAATGAGCCCCTGAATGGACGAGGAGGGCAGTGAATTGCTTCCGCAGGGCCTGTGGACGACGTCAGGCCGTCTTGCCATCACTAAAGACAGTAATGAAGAACAGTAGGTCACGGAATACACTCTGTGAGAACGAAAACATGGCTGCGATGCTATGCTACCTATCCAATTCCACCGTATAACACAGCCACTAGTTACGAATACAAAAACACGGCTTTCGCAGCATACAATGCAGTTCACTCCTCTGTTGACAGATTAATTTTCATCCACTAGCAAACCTTGAAGTGATATCTATCAACTTCAGAACATTGATGACCGAATATCCCAGTTTGTGATGCCATTTTACAAATTTGTTAAAAATGACACACCAATTATTTGAATCCTGAGAATACTATGAAAGTAGGACATGATTCAAGACACTTTCCAAAGTGGCCCGGATCATTCCCATTTTTGGACACAACGGGCATGAAGGATAGCACTTCCACTTGCAACAATTCCTTTGGACGTAGCTTTGTCTAGAAGTGACTGAAAAAACGTCATTTTCAAGTACAACCATGTTAAAAAAAAGCCAAATCACCTCGTACTGAATGAGTCTAGAAGACCGTGCTCAAACTGTGGGAAAATAGAAGACCGTGCTCATACTGTGTAGAAAAAAATGGAAGAACGGGGGTAAAACTGTGTGGCGAAAAATAGAAGACTGGGGTCAAACTGGGTTGAAAGAATAAAAGACCGTCCTCGAATACAAGACCGTCCTCAATTATAAGGCCGGGGTAGGACGAGTTTGAAAAAAATAGTAGACCGGCCTACTATTTGCGGAAATACGGAATCACCTTCTCTGAAGAGCCCTTGATAGGCGAAACAGCTGTCAGAAGGAAATGGTTTACCCGTGATCCCTTCGTTGCTTGAGATTATTGGTGTGAGTAATGGCTACCGAGGGTAGCAGTGGTCGGCTTTAGAGCGCATAGAGGAGGAGAGTTTTATGTATTTCAGAGGGTTATAATAATAATAATAATAAAACAGGTCGCGTAATGAAGCAGCATAACGATAGATGTGCAAAGTCATGATGACTTGTCCACTTCTATCCTGGGTTCACTATACCGTGCGTTGCAGCCGCGAGCAAAACCAGCTCAGGCTGAGAATTCCCTCCATGATTGCTTGTCCAAAGCGCGCATTCTGAGCCCACTCAGATCAGTCATGGTCTTCAGTGGCATGTCTCTGGCAGCTGTGCTTGCCTTGACTGCCGTGGCCAGGTTCGATTTCGGGCGTCCACGCACACCGGTGACATCTCGACGGAAGTAGTTGTCCATTGCCTGCTGTGGTGGGGCATCTGAGGGCATCCTCAGAACATGACCCAACATCCGGAAACGGCAGACATCAACGGTGGCTGTGTGTGTGTGCTCTGGAATATAGGTCTTTGTTGGAGATGATGGCAGGATACCTAATTCCGAACAAGTTCCGTAGTTGACGTCTATGGAAGGCGTTCAGCTTCTCCAGTGCAGCCTCTGTCAGTCCCCAGGTCAGAGGGTTATACCGGCTGAATATAAATCACAGTCGGGATTTATGTGAGGGTACGGTATAACCCGACTGTGAGGGTCATATCCTACTTATGCCAGGTACCCCTACGCATTCCCAGAACAACGAACCTTGTTTGGAGATCTCCTAGATCATGCAGTACCATGCGGTACATGAACATGTTCTGCTGGTTATCAGTTGTCGTGAAAGAATGGTAGAGCAAGATCAGAAGGAGATTCCTCCGTGGATGTTTAGCATAAGATTTCCGTTCAGTTCCAGTGCATATTGTAGCATATTGCCTCGTGAGCGGTGTGGAAGTCAACTGAATCACTGGAGTGCTGGAGTTGTCGTTGAATCAAACTACCGTCACTAGTTAGACTACAGTTTGGAGTCTTTAGGAGTAAGTGTAACTATAATTACGGTACAGTGCTGATTTTCACATGCGGCATCTTGCAAACGATTTAGCTTACTTGCAAGTAGATGCATTTGCATGAACTGTTTTGTATCACTGTATCACATTTCATTCCATTCTAGCATTTTCCAATCGGTTTAGATGGAATTTGAAGTACACTCTGTATCATAAACTAAGTTACGAAGGAGACAGTCTGTTGATGATCTTCAAATCTTCCAAGTACATGGACCGTACATCAAGTTGCCGATCCAGTCCGGATACTTTGTGGTTATTCGACATTCTTTGTCCTGAGATTCAGTATAATAGAACACTCGGTAGAGGAATTCCAGGTCATTTTTCTTTTCCATTGTGTGCTGCTCCTCGGCAGTAATGCCGTTCTGTGTGGAGTGCATGTGTTGTCCGTTGTGTTTGTTGTGAATGGTCCGTGCGGTGGCAGTGCCCTAGCGTACATACTGTGCACCGGGATTTGTATTCAATATATATCCAGCGCGCAATTTATACTGGCCAATATAACCATGGCTAGACGAGCGCTGATTGGCTGAAAAGAGGCCCTCCGCACCGTACCATGGTACACGCAGGTGTACGTCTTACCTGGGTACGTACTGAGTGAGTTCCAGTGTACTTTGGTAATGACTGGTGGACAAGCTCATTTTCATGCTGTCGAATGTCTCAGTACTCCTCGTCAGTTTGGTGCAAAAATGGTTCACGTCTGACTGGTCTGGTTGGTGGACTCAAACGCATAACTTTTGCCCCGCTGTTTTCGATGTTTTCAATTTATAGTTTTTATATGCGCGTGACTGGGGGTGGGGGTGGGGGTATTTCACCACCCAGCTCTCCATCGATATCAACATCATGCTCTATTGACGGTTTATCTATGTCTATTGTTTGGCTGTGTGTCTTAGAAGCCACCTCCAGTGCCGGGAAAGGCTTGACAAAGACCTGTGAGCTAGTTTTGAAACTGGAGCCTTAGTAAGTACTCATCACCGCCACTTCCACCGAAACTGGGTGACAGCGCCCTCCTAGGTGGAGATTTGTATGCATAATGTCATTAAAGCGCCATTTCATTCTTATAAAAGCACGGGTGACCACGATTGGCTCGTATGTTGTAGTCACAGGCTTTGGACGCTGAGTCGACTGGTTTTGGTCCGAAAAGGCTGTGATGCAGCGTTTGGCCCTTTTTCCCAATTGAACACGGTTTAGTAAGCGGTCACGTGCTCATGCGTACACCAGTCACCTGGTCACCATGCCCGTAGGCTACAACTTACAGCCTGTTTGGACGTGCTCCTGTCACTCTAGTTGAACCTTTGAACCTTTGAGTTGAACCTTGGTGTGAAAGTTGTAGCCTGCAGGTATGGTGACCAGACAACTGGTGTATGCACAAGCACGTGACCGCTTACTCAACCGTGTTCGATTGGGAATAAGGCCGAATACTGCATCGCAGTCTTTTCGGCCCTAAACCAGTCGACTCAGCATCCAAAAGACTACAACATAGGGGCCAATCGCGATCATGCGTGCTTTTATAGACCGAAATGGCGCCTTTAGTGACATTTTCCATACAAATCCCCATCTAGTGGGGCTCAGTCACCCAGTTTCGGTGGAAGTGGCGAGTTCGATTGGGAATAAAGGAGGAAGGGAGCATCTCAGCTTCCTCAGACCAAGACTGTTCAACTCCGCACCCCGATGACTACAACTGGTGAAAGTTTGATTCCAGGGTATACTCCCCCTATATCCATCTCAAATAGCTCTTGCCCATGCATCTTGTCTTCAGTTGTCAAATGATCCTTTTATCCCCCCCCCCCCCCTACCCTCATGTGATTGCGAACACCCACATGTACTCTCACACAACAACCATACTGGCAACTGTTTGGGTGTAGCTTAGTCTTGTATTGTGCCCAACTTGGACACACAAGCTGTGCCCAGCTTGACTCTGCTGAGTCCCTGACTACTATACTACTCCTCTGGCATGAAGCCATGCCTGTCAGAAGGGAGTAAAGGGCAGAGGGAAAGACGAAGATACTTGTCAGCTACAGCAAGCAAGTGTCAAGTGCACGTTGAGTGAGATCACACCACTGTTGAGTGAGACCACACAACTGTTGAGTGAGACCACACAACTGTTGAGTGAGACCACACAACTGTTGAGTGAGATCACACAACTGTTGAGTGAGACCACACAACTGTTGAGTGAGACCACACAACTGTTGAGTGAGACCACACAACTGTTGAGTGAGACCACACAACTCTTGAGTGAGACCACACAACTGTTCAGTGAGATCACACAACTGTTGAGTGAGACCACACAACTGTGGAGTGAGACCACTCAACTGTTGAGTGAGACCACACAACTGTTGAGTGAGATCACACAACTGTCTTGCAAAATTCGATTGGATTATTAATACTAGGGCTGAAATAGTGCTCTCCAGGCACAAACCTCTACTTCACATTGTTGTCCCCAGCGCGGGCTCGCGAATTAGATGGTTTGGAGGCAACAACGTTGTCACGGAATGGCCAACGGTCCTCAGCGCTTGTTCACACCTCCATGAGCGACACTGACTCATGCTGCTATCTGGTGCTCAAGAGGTGTTTGTCGCGCTGGAAACGGAGCGTCTCTGTAAGTTTGTATCCCTGTTGATGTTTGTGCCTGGAGAGCACTATATAAGTGATGCTCTTCGGGCACAATCTTCCTCAGCCTACTCAAGCTCAACTGATGAAGGATGAATTCCCCGAAACACTGTGTATTGAGCAGGGAGTGGTGCTTTCTTGCAGGTTTGCCAAGTGGACGGTTCGATGGACTTCTCGTGTGCTCTGGATGGCAGTCGTGAGTCAGTCAATTGAGAATTCAAGTCTGCAGGAAAACTGTGAGCTCCCATGTAGGGAGCAACACACACTTCCCCAAAATAGAATACTCAATGGAAATTGAACACAAAAGCTTGACAAGAAACCGTTACCTAAATGGCCTACCGGCTTCCTGTTGTAAGCTCCTGCTGCTGCTTGTGTTTGGTTGTTTGTGTTGTAGTCACGGCAATTGGAGACCAAGCAAGCGTATTCAAACACTAGACTTGCCTCCGCAGTTGTCTGGTTTCAGAGGCCAAACCAGTGAGTGGAATTATGATTCTGAACAAATTTTTGCATTTGTTCTTCGTTCCTCCATGTCAATAGCTCTTATTCACACTCACCATTAGTGTTCAGTGTTACAGGCAAGAATTCAAAATCCGATACACGTGGACAGGCACACTCTCCGAACGCAAATGGGACAACACACCATTACTAGATGTTCTGGATTTCTCCTTGCAAAACACTTCAACCATAACTGGCATAACTCAAAAAAACCAAAAACTGCAAAAGGAAGCAAAAAAAGGCCAGAAAAGGCACAGCGCGCTTGCGCCACCACACACACGTACGCGTGACACAAAAGGCATCATGGGCATGACTCATACTCATACTCATAGTCATACTCATAGCACAAGCATACAGCACAGCGCAGCTGTAGCTAGCTGTACAAGCGCATGACCGCGGGTACAAAGGTTTTCAAAAATACAAATAATTTATCATAAGAGCAGCTCAAACAACTACACGTTTGAAGCGGAAACAGACTAGAAGAGAGACGGAGAAGCAGAGTAGAACGAGATTAGACAGAAGGAACTTGAAGAATTATCAATGTGAGTAGAACAGTAGCATGGACACTCGTAATAACAGAATAGACGACATGGCTGTAGACTGGAGCATCTCCATCTCCACCTCCACCAACATGAATCAGAGGAAAATAAATAAGTAAACAAACAAGGTAAGGTCAAAACGAGAATCATTCAAGAGGCTGTCTTGGAACATATGTAAATAGGCGAGTGGCGACAACATTCAGTATGTTCAGTAAAATGCACTGTAGCGACAGGCATACACTAGTCAGGCCGGTGAATGTGAATACCAGAAATTGGCCCAGGTTTTGGCATAATCTAGTCCTATAATTTTATATCTGTAATGTACATGTGGCAGCATGTGTTTCTCTCTGTTTTTCATTACTTACTTTGTAGACATTTTTAACCTGATTGCCACTTCTGTGTCATTTTTATGTAACGTATGCAGATCCCTGGAAGCACCCAGACTTTCCAACTGACCGGTATCGTGGCTGGATACTCACCCTGCCAGCAGCTACGTTCCGGAGAAAGGTCATTGCAAAGCGCCTGCTACCCGGCAATGGTGTGATTGAAAAGCTGCGCCTCCGTGAGAAGAACGACGGGACTCGAGAGCATAATGAAGACTTGCTGACTTATCTCCTGCCGGGTGGCCGGGCGTACTTCAAAACCTTCCTGGATATCATTGAAGCCATGTACCCGTACAAGCGTTCTGAATTCGAGGCATTGCTGGATCCTCCTGAAGCATGAGCTGAAATCATTGTAAGTTACTGGATCTATCAAAATTATCACTACTGCTGCTGCCGCCTCATTACTGCTGCTGCTGTTGCTATATTTCTGCTGTACATTTTCAGCCCATGGTGCCTTCGGGATCACTACCACGGAAGTGTCTTTGCTTTGTTGTTTGTTGGTGTGACACATATGTGCCTTTTATAGAGAAATAGAAATATCATCTTGGCTCTTCCCATCGGCTAGCACTATTTTTGTCATTACGCTTCTCAGTTTGGAGGTCACTAATCAATGAGACTTCCATATTATAAATCTACTGGCTGTTCCAGCATATTTTGCTTCTGAAATTTATCGTTTACGATTTACATGGATCAGAGTCTAAAATTGCAACTTTTTATTATATTGTTGGAGAGCACAGGCAAGTGTCCTCAATGGCTTTATTCTTGCTGCCGCATTAGGGTTTTGGCTTGCAGCAGTGTGCTTTCCAAGAGGGCAATGGCACATTTCCGAACATGACCGTTCTGCTCTCTGGTTGACATTATTCGCAGTAAGAGCTTAGCGTAAAGTGCCTCCTCTTATCGCTCCTTTCTTCTTTGAAATTACGGCACCCACTGTTCCACAGTAATGGCTATTGTGTTAAACACAATTTTTTGTTTCTTTGTGTTCTTTTAGACAGTTATCATGAGGGCAATGATTATGTGTAAAGAAGTTTGTTTGATATGATATTAATGTTGTTGTTGTTGTTCACCCTGTTCAATACCCTCAACTAATGCATACTTGTTGTTGTACACGTGAGCATCTCCCCTTCCTATTCTTTTGCCTTGTGAAATTTCTTGCTGGTTATTTCTATTTGGATTGTTGCACTTTGTTGGTTGGTCACCTGTACTACAATGTATGTGCAAACATGTTAGTGATCGTTTCTATGGGAACTCAGGTGACAAGGCACTTTCATTTATCCTTATCCTGAGCTGTGACTGTTGGTTGGTGGGCCCAGAGCATATCCTTATCCTGTATGTACTTCGAAAGTATGTTTTAAATGTCACGCCATCATGATCTCCCTCCGCTTCCTTGCTACTCAAGTTCCACCATGATCCCATGCTGCTGGGTGCCATGCGCGTCGCGCTGAGTGTCACTAGATTGTTTTTTTTTGCCCCCAGTGACCAGTCACCCCTTGCCTGCTGTGCATGTCACAATTGCAGTTTCTAGCACACCTGTCCAATACATTCCTAGGTAACGTTACTCAGGTTCAAGTCCTGCTTGGAAGCGGAAGGATTTTTTCCAGACTTGCTGCGACCCACAGTTAAGGGGGTTGGGGACAGTTAGGCCCAAAAATTTAATTTCAACATCAGCCCAATCTGACATCAGGTTTGAATAGGTACAGCCTTATATTTTCGCTTAGTGACATCAGTTTTTCAATTGCCTGAATAGGTCTTGCCAAAAACACAATTTTCCTTGATAACACACAATATCGCAAAATCCGAAAATTGATGAGAAATCGTCCATAACAATCATGTTAACACCAGATAGGACAGAAAATATGACATAAAATTACACAGACTGTTCGAGGTATTGACTAAGATGATATCAACACCGAAAAATGTACACTTTGGTTGACGATGGGATCCAGGTCGTCATTTCCTGGAGAAGAACAAAAAGACGCAAAAAATGAAACTTTGAATATTTTTTGCAGCTTATTTTTGAGTTTGCCCCACATGTGGATACTTCAAATACGTTCTATAAGTGGGTTGGAACAGGTTTACCGCGGCGAAAATAGGGGTCACCGTGCATATTCTGGAGAAAAATCCAAAAAGCTGTCAAAATTTGCCTAAAATTGGTAAATTCACGTATCTATATTGCTTGTACTTCTCTGTTGCTGCTTTGGTCATAGCTTATTGGATTCTTGGCTGTTAGGTGTTGCATAAACTCGCTAGAGCCCTCGGCGTTCAGAACAATACAAGGATGGAATAGCTGAACTAGTGAATTTGCCGGAAAACCCTGGGTGCACGCATTATCGATAGCTACTTTTCTCCATGATAGTACTCTCCTGTTGGTACTTGGTTTTGATACATGTACATGTACATGTAGCTGTGAGAGCGCTTAGCACTGCCCCATATCAAACTACAATGAAAGCTGACATGTTGGAACGAATCAGACAACATTGAGTCCTCTTGTTCTTCAACTATGCGAGCTAGAACGTGAACCCACACTGGCCAAAATGATGGTATTTTACGGTGCGCACAAACAAGTGAAGCCCTGTGCCACAGGGCGTTACTTACAGTTGGGTTGCTGCTGGTTCTTGGCTAGGTGTTCAGCCACCGCTAATATTATCTTCCTTGAGGCTGTCACCCGCTTCTTACCTCCGACTTGCTCCTTCATCAGTCTGGAAATGGCTGACTCACCACTTCGTTTGTAGGACAAGACAAAGTGCTTCATCACCAACTCACTAGCAGCTGCCCGCACTGCAACTGATTTAGAGAAGCACGTTGCTTGGACCAACGGTTGAAGGGTGGCCAGCCGCTTTTGCTGATGTTCTGCAAACTCCTTCGCCGAACATGCTGATGCAAAAGTGACAGAGTGCTACAGGATACTGGCATCAGGGCGAGCTTCGACAATTTCAGCTAGGGCCGCAACATCCGCAACAGCATCATGAGCAGCGAACTCATTCCCAACGATGAACTATAAATCAATGTGAGGCTGTAGCTTGGGAGCTCCGGTATCGCGGTTTAGGGATCAGAGTGTTCACCCAGCACAAAAATGCACACCATCGACACACACATGCGTGCACACACACACACACACACACACACACACACACACGTAACACAAAACAATTATAGAACCGCAATAATGGGTGGTGGCGGAGACAAGTACAGGCAAATCAGAATTGAAAACACTCATCATTGAACGCACTACAAAACGCAGGCCCACGCCAATACACACACACACACACACACACACGCGCATGCTCTCACACGCAATAGAACACGCCCGCGCGCACGCGTACACACACATACATTCACGCACGTGTACGTACCCACCCACATGCATGTGCACACCCACGGCATGTGCATGAGTGGAGATGCCCAAATACACATGTCACACCAACATGCCCTGGGAGCGGTCATGCACGTGTGTATAGTATGTGTGCGAGGGCACCGTCCACATGAGCGCATATGCATGTGCATGTTCATACATGCGTATGGTGCACACATGCACAAACATGCAGGTCTATGCAAACACACACACACACGCTCGCGCGCGACGCGCATACAGTGTGTTCATACATTTCCATAGCCATAGGGTTGAAATGACACGCAAATATAATGAATAAATCTTATGAGATTGATAAACACACTTACCCAAAGCAGCTTTGGTGTTGCTTGTGGAAGCACGGAGGCCAGGGTGTTGAGCATAAAATTCTCCATCCCACACTGCTGACACGGACTGATGATGACAAGTACGCTGAAAAGGCCGTACCTCTTCTCTTCAACGCAATCAACTTGATGAGCGCCAGAGGTTGTTGTTGTGTTGTTGTTTGCCACATCCAGCATTCTGGCACGCAGACAATCCCACAGCCAGATACCTGAGATGAACGATTCGTCGACCGTGAAGAGGGGCACTGAACGACCTCTTCGCGGGAGTCGAATCCAGTGGCGTTGGTGGTGGAGATCGCCCTTTCCGTTTTTCAGGAACTTGATCGATCGTTTGAGCTTGCGAAGCGTCCCCCTCCTCGGCTTCTTGAATCGTCCAGTACGCAGAATGCGAGGCAGCGTCGTGGGTGACAGATTCCTCTCCCGCGTCTTCATCTCCACGACACGTCGGCAGGAGAACCAAGCTATCCAAAAACCGCCGATGTCAAAACAAATCCGCAAGTCCACTAGCGGCTGAGCTTCTTCCTCATCTTGTCTCGACTCGAGCACGCGCTGCGAAGTCATGCCTCATGCATGCATGGTCAAACTGTGCATGATCGATCGCGTCCCATTTTTCCACTCCGAAAGGCATTATTATTTTCAGAATAAAATTCGGAAATCCAACATGGCGCTAACTGTCGCGAACCCCCCCCCCCTTAATTGGGAACTCGTGGCCTGGCACGAGGGAAACATGTATGCAGTGAATGGGATTTTCGGTCTTTGACCACTTTGTGGTGGGTCTGATCTGCTCACCTCCCATCGCTTAGGACGGCTGCATCGTCGCCTTGACCCAGGAGGGTGGTGGTGTTCTTGCGGATGCGGAAAACTCGGCCTTTGGCCGAGTCTCACGCGAACCGTGATTTTTTAATTAACATGACTCATGAGCATTCACTTTGTTGTCTGATGACTGACATTTTGTCATGAAATTCTGAATAACAACAATACATTCTTTCTCGTCATTGTGAACTTGTGTCGCAGGCTCCTCTTCGTAGGTTGAGCGCTCTCGCAAGTCAACAGCATCCGTCTTCTTTGTATGTACACAATAGCCAGTGCTGCAGACAGCAAGCTGTTTGCACCAGAGTGCTCAAACTAAAAAATGGTAGAGAGCGATGCATAACGCGCCGAGGAGTGTAATATCCAATGTACAAAATAGTAACGTTATATCTATTTGAAACTCGGATGTTGAGCCATAAATAAATGTAGAAAGGAAAAGGACATAAGGATACGAGTTAAGAGTAACTCTCCATCACTGTAACTGGATACTATATACAGTCAGAAAGTGCAATAACTAGGCACACAACTGACAAGACAGTTACAGTGATGGAGTGATGGAGAGTTACTCCCAAATCGGGTTGGGGTTTTGGAAATAATTGGACAACGTGATGTAGGTTCGAACCCAGCGACACTGCGTGACCCTCGTATATCTACACACGTAACAAGACTAATAAAACTTACAACAAGGCCCAGGCAAGGGTTTTCACGGCTCCCCGATGGTTCTACAGGTGGAATCCTGATAATTCGAATATGGCTCAATGCCAAATAACGCGCAACTAGACTTGAGAGGGCATCGCACACAAGTTGCATACAAATTCAGTATACTACAATGTGTACATGGTAGACCCTGAGCTCTGCAGGAATGCAAGTCACAGGTAACCATACTAATATATTGTATTACTTTGAACTACTTTGTATGCAACTACTCTGCAATGCCCTCTCAAGTCTAGTTGCACGTTTATATTTGGCATATCATCTATTAGAAGTTTTTCCAGGACCGATTTCTATCAATACGATTCCCACATAAAATTTTCTGATAATTCGAACCTCGATCCATATTCGAAGTTAGCGAAGTGTAATTCGAAGTTCACTGTACACTGTACTGGTCGGTTCAGTTTCCATGAGCAGGCTGTGCCGTTCAGTTCAGTGTCCGTAAAATTTGTGTCTAAGGTCCATAGCGCAACTCTGCGTGACAATGAGAGCATTTTGACAATCATACAATGTATGATTGTCATATTGAGTTGTGGGTTCATGTTTGGATAATTAGAATGTCCGGATAATTAGAAGTTTTTTCCTGGCATTTTGAGGTTCGAATTATCAGGATTTCACCTGTATATGTAGGCTGTTGTACTTTTGAAACGCACCATGAGCTGTACTACATCAGTACTCAGTACTGAGTGTCAGTAGTGCCAGTGGCCCAGTGCCTGTGGTGGTAGACCTGATACTGATAGACTAGCCACGTGTAAATCTGCATGACTGTACAAAGTCATGTAGATCTACATTGTACTTACAACTGGGATGGTCATGATGCGACTTGACTCTTGAGCCTCCTCCGCGGCATGGCAGGGTCAACTGCGCTCTTCCTAGCGCCATTTTATAAAGTGCTTCCTGAAAATCGCGTGGTCGATGTCGGACATTGTCAAATTGCGGTCTTGTTCGCCTTCTGGCAGAGATCGTGTTCATCCAGTCGAGTTACAGTGGTTCCTTCCGTTTGTCCATAGCCATTTTACGATTGTGTCCCAAGGCCACGCGGCGTCTTCAAAGCAAGTTCCGAGTGCCCGGGAATAATATTCGCAGTCTGGTCTGGAGCGCATTCTATCGATCACTCGTCTCCACCGGTAAGTCGTAAATCTGACCATGTGTTGCGTTGTGTCTAGCCGATTCTTTGCCTGAGGCGACGGTAAGCCGACCGGTGGTAACACGGGTCGCGCTTCTTTTGTATAAAATAGTGAATACTTACGATGAAACGGTTTGAAGACCGATCCACACGCTGCGTCTTGTGCATTTCGTTGTCGTGGAATTGTTTTGAGGCGCAGTGTGAACGCGTGCTAAAAAACGATAACAGATCTAACAACTAGTAATACTTCAATTCTTCTTCCTACAAGTAACAAGATTGCCTGTTGCCTTCAAAATTAAATGGTCAAGTGAGCGTGAAATGTAAACACGTTTGGCCAATGTGAAGAAGCAGGGAGATAATTATTGGTTGGGAGATCTGATGTAGGAAGATGTAGTGTTTCACTTCAGAGTTCGAGACATGTCTCCTGGTTGGGATATTCTGCATCTCTGGGAAAAGGGACGGCGGAATAGGCAACGTTACATCGCTTATGTACGTGTGTACTAACTTGCAGCAGAAAAGTATCAAAAGTAAACTAACTTGGGCCTTGATGGAATGTTCACAAAATACACGTCATGGTAGTGTAAACACGTGCAGTTCCAATTTGTGCTTCATGTCAAAGTGGCATCAGAGGCGGCTAAGTTTAGATAGGACCCTGACCACAGCTAGAACTAACCAGAATGGCTCAACAAGAATGTTTTGTAGACTGGCATCCACAGACCTGGTAACATTCAAACAACTGCAGGTTGAACCGGGTAAGGTGACATTGGGTTTCCTTAGTTGGCAACATGAGAACGCTAAAAGACTTGAATATCAGGAAAGAGTAACACAAGGGAAGTATACCCTGAACGAAATAGAGGTTGCGACGTCGGCGATGATTTGTGAGAAAGGGTTCGCTCCCCACACCGGAGCTCGGGCTATTCCGCCGACTTGACTTGACACTTGACTGACTCACGACTGCCATCCAGAGCACATGAGAAGTCCATCGAACCTTCGACTCGGCAAACCTGCAAGAAAGCACCACTCCCTGCTCAATACACAGCTGCTTGGTGTTCACAAGGTGTTTGTCGCGCTGGAAACGGAGCGTCTCTGTAATTTTGTATCCCTCGTGATGTTTGTGCCTGGAGAGCACGATATAAGTGGTGCTCTTCAGGGACAATCTTCCTCAGCCTACTCAAGCTAACCTGATGAGGGGTGAATTCCCCAAAACACTGTGTATTGAGCAGGGAGTGGTGCTTTCTTGCAGGTTTGCCGAGTCGAACGTTCGATGGACTTCTCGTGTGCTCTGGATGGCAGTCGTGAGTCAGTCAAGTGTCGAGTCAAGTCGGCAGAATAGCGTGAGCTCCGGTGTGGGCAGCGAACCCTTTCTTACAAGTATACCCTGAAATAAAAATTTCACCAGTTATAGTCTTCAGGGTGCGGAGGCGAATGGTCTGGGCCCGAGGAAGCTGAGACGCTCCCTTCCTCCTTTATTCCCAATCAAACTCGCGCACTTCCACCGAAACTGGGTGACTGCGCCCTACTAGACGGGGATTTGTATGCAAAATGTCACTAAAAGCGCCATTTCGTTCTTATAAAAGCACGCATGACCGTGATTGGATCAGATGTGGTAGTATTTTGGATGCTGAGTCGACTGGTTTTGGTCCGAAAAGGCTGCGATGCAGCATTCGGCCCTTATTCCCAATCGAACACGGTTGAGTAAGCGGTCACGTGCTCGTGCGTGCACTAGTCACCTGGTGACTGTGCCTGCAGGCTACAACTTACAGCATATTTGGGCATGTTCCTGTCACTGAAGTTGAACCTTTGAGGTGGACCGTGGTGTGAAAGTTATAGCCTGCAGGCACGGTGACTAGGCGACTGGTGTACGCACGAGCACGTGACCGCTTACTCAGCCATGTTCGATTGGGAATAAGGGCCGAACGCTGCATCGCAGCCTTTTCCGACCAAAACCAGTCGACTCAGCGTCCAAAAGACTATAGCATATGGGCCAATCGCGGTCATCCATGCTTTTATAAGAACGAAATGGCGCTTTTAGTGACATTTTGCATACAAATCCCCATCTAGTAGGGCGCAGTCACCCAGTTTCGATGGAAGTGGCGAGTTCGATTAGGAATAAAGGAGGAAGAGAGCATCTCAGCTTCCTCGGCCCGAGACCATTCGACTCAGCACCCCGAAGACTACAACTGGTGAACATTTGATTTTAGGGCCTGCTTCCGCTTGAACATTGACCGTGGGGGGGGGGGGCAGGGGCCTTTGCACCTTTTTTAGTGCTCAGTGAATGGAGCAGCCGCACTTGCATCCACTGTCTTTCTGAGGCACCTCTGCCTCCTCATATCACAATCTACGGGAGGCAGTTAATCCTCGTTGATGGGGTACAATCGTTGTCGGGTGTTCCACTGTATTGTGTGTCAGGGGCTCGGTCCGCCTGTCATCGGCCAGTTCACATGCTACGCGATTTGGCGATGCTGTAAGGGCGGGTTTCCTTGCCGGAATTTGCGCTGCATCGTGCTCGTTCTGTTTTTTTTGGTTTTTCATATTATTTGAGTTATAGCTTTACTGTGAAGTAGAAGTTGGAAGGAGGGGCTGAGTTGGTTGAACTGCTTAGAGCTAGCGGTCTCATAATTGGAACTGATGTGAATCCGAACAAAATCACAGGTAAAATGATTAAGTAGACCAGGATTTGAGAAAGGAACTGAGCTGCATGGAAAGCATGAAAGATGATATTTCCTCATTGAGATCCGTCATTCCTTTTTTCTTTTCTTTTTTTACCAAGGCACATGAAACGCGCATGCACCTGGCAGAGGAACAACACCAAGGATCAAAGAAGTACTGATAAGAGAGGCATGAGCAAGTAAAGCAGTGTAGCATGCACTACCATATGTACAGGCAGCATGATTACCACAAACAGCAGCATACTAGTACATCCTCAATCTGGTTTCGTGACACTACAGTCAAGCACACCCTTCACCAACTCAGCCCCGCCAACACCACTGACAATGATGGGACACATGATTGACTACTGATAGCATACTGAGTAGAATTAATAACCTCTTGCCAGAGCCAGTCACATCCATACTCCAGTTTAATGGTACGGTCAACCTCCCTTGCTTTTTAACAAAGGTTCGTTAGTGACAAATTCCGTCAATTGACATGGCCATGGTATAATTATTATGTTCTTTTTTTGTATTGCCTCAGGACTTGCTCCGACATTGTGTGTATGGCCGTTAAGCATTAGCATATGCAGTTTGTATTTTCCATTATGAACGCAACTGGAAGTGGGGACGAGGTACACACGCCTAACAACCGCGCCGAGCGCGTAGTGATCTACGTGGGTATTTCCACAGCTGTTACAACGGGTCTGGTGCTGCTGCTAGTGGTGCTGTATCGCTGTCACAAAGCCAAGCACCCTGGAGCAGCAAGTCCAAGGCCACAGCCTTGTGAGCAGGCTCTCAGGACACATAGCAGCAGCTCGGGCAGCAGTGACGATGGCTACTATAGCCTCAGCAGTGCTCCGAATAGTGGCCGAAACGATAAGGTGAGAAAGGAAATGGGCTGGGCAGGGGTTGGTTCACATCTAGAAACAATCTTTGGGTTGTTTGAGAGTGATACATTGTTAGCAACAAGCTAATCCCCTGTATTTGAACAGCACCATTATGACAAGTGCGACTCTGACCATGGGTACGCAGATATTGATACAGTGAAACTCGCCTAATAGGTGCTGCGGAATCTATCCTGATATGACGCGATTCCTCTTGACACAGCGAGACATGGTGTGTACTATGCGCCTTTATTCAAAGAACTATGGCTAGGGACAGCAGTCTACATCTCACGAACACAGCTCATGTAGCATGTACCGTATTTCCCTGCTTGTAAGTCGCACTCACTTGTAAGTCTCATTCCCATTTCCCGGTCCATGTTTTATCATTTCCATATGTTCACTTCAGTAGTAAGTCACGCTCGATTGTAAGTCGCACCCCCTTTGTTGTACCCCCTTTGTTGGGCCTGAATTTTATTGTAAAGAGGCGCGACTCATATTCGGGGAAATACCCTGTATAATATACCCATTGTTTTCTAGATTTGCTTGTGTTGTGTGTTGTTCACAGGTGTGTGCAGCCTAATAATAAGATGCACTTGTCGTCTTCCATTTGTCTCGTAGGTCTCAAAGGAGAAGGACCACCAGTGGCTACCTGTTGTCAAAGGGCTAACGAGATGCATATCCGAAGGAGCTTACGGGCAGGTGTACGTTAACCCCTCCACCGAAGCACAGTACTATGCATTGAAGGTGAATATCTGTATTGCTTGATTCAGCAGTATTTTTTTTCTAGCAGCCTCACTGCAATGAAAAGTGGTGTGTGCCTTGTCATGGTGTAGGACACAAAGGTGAATTTGCTAGACCCAGGTTGAACAAGATGTGGAGCCCAAGAATGTTCAGCCTGGAAATATACGAGGGTGAAGCTAAGAATTCCAGTAACTTTAAAAAAAGATTTTACTTCAAAAGCGAATACAGCCTTTGAAGAAACTGCTAAGATCAGGTGGCTAAAGTTGGGCCCTTCGAAGTTCTTGTAAGGCAGACTCGTAGTTGCCGACAATGTAGTGTTGATCGACTTCTTGTCTGTGGGTCATTATGGTCATGTTCCATTACTACAATGTTGCACAAGTGACCAGTTAGAATTGCTTTCTATGGGATATGCATAGGAAGTGAAACCTGATCTAAGTAAAATGTAAGTCACCGTGGGAGGAAACTGCAGTTATCATCACCCATCCTTTTAACCCTTTACCGTTTTAGGTATTTGTACAGCAAAAACCGACCATCATTGTTCATGCCGTAACTTTTTTATTTTTCACTTTTATTATGTACAAAATGGGGTGATTCTGAAAGTAAAAACCCTCAGGAATGCGATACAACAACTTTCAAGTCCAGAAAACGAACACAGATTTCACTATTTAGCACTAATATTTATTTGGATTTATTGCCGATCGGGCAAACTGTTGCAATATGCAATAAATCATATCCTTGCACTGGAGTGGGTCCCTCAGGTAAGTGGATACCAGGTTCGTTCTCTGGGTGGAATGCAGGAGTGTTACCAGTCACAGCGGTGTCAGCATTGTCCCAAGTATTGCAAATATCGACTAGTGCAGGTTGCACCGCTGGCTGTACATAGTACCTGTGCACCACGACCTCTACCGTGCGACGGCCTATTCCACGGCCGAATCCTCTCTCTCTGCCACGTCCCCTTCCACCATTAGTGGCACTCATCTCAGCGACACTGTCGTCGTCTGTGACATCCATGTCACTCTCACTGGCGCTGCTTTCACTCGCCATGTCATCGTCGCGGTCGTCGTCAGAATAAATATTTTCAACAGGATTGTCTGGCTCCACAAACTCATCCTCGCTGGATGAGGCAGCGACAGAGTCGTCAGGTAGGGTCTCCAGAAGCGAAAGAGCTTGCTCCGCGTCCATGGCTTGCACAGCAGGGCAGACAGTCGTGAGGCCAGCTCAAGCAAAAGTCGAAATAATCTGCAGGCAATACCAAAAGTCGCAGGGTACGCACTTTTCCCAAAGCGCATTTTTCAAGTCGCGATTTTCGCGATTTTTTATATTGCATCACACAAAAAAATTGTCGGCACCCTCTGCGCGTACATCTTGGCTACCAGTAGGGAAAATCCCAGCTCTCTGCGGTGAACCAGTCCAGCGCTGTGCGCATAGAAGTCATCGACCGCGAGCGGTCGAAATTTGTACGTACAAACGGTAAAGGGTTAAAGATATCCAGCTTGTGCTGCCATGCTGCGGCTTTTGCTGCGTGCCTTTGTTGCGCAGTGGCAGTGGTGATGTGTGTGCGTGGGGGCTGTCCTCAGGTCATTGTGTATCTGGCAGACAAGTGAGTTGTCTTCCGGATCACAGTTATGATAGGCAGCCTACATGGCATGGGCACCCTACATGGCATGGGCACCCTACATGGCATGGGCACCCT